TTCAGATGTTGTTCAATGAGTTTGCCACAAAAATGTTCAAATTATGTAGGAGAGTAAAAGGACACAATTGCTAGTAGTGCTTCTTTGTGCCCGTTGACTACAATGAACATTTTGCGGAGTTTCTCCAGACGGCTTTTATCGGAGTGCGTGTTATTTACTTGGTTATGCACAAGCCAGGCCAACATTTTGTTTTTGTGTCAGCCGTGCTACCAGGTTGCAGAGTATTATAAACACTAAACAATTATACACTATACAAATTTGCTAATACAATATCATGCAGAGTCCGATCTAGCTGCAAACGTCAGACACCACAGTTCAGCCGCCAAGTACCGTTTAAGTGAACACCGAGACACGAGGTTTAGGTGTCATTTTGTAAATCACTTTATGGATGGATAATTCAGTAATTGTTGAAGAAAATTACAGTCACTGCCACCTATAGCGTTATGTCATGGGTCTGATTAACGGCCAAGAATAAACGTACGTGCGTGCTTAAGAAACCCGCGCAAATGTTGAGGTAGGGAGTAGCTGCGGCGCGCTTTTAACATATATTACGTATAGCGCCGTACGGAAACGGCAATATTTAAGTAATTAAGTATTTGTTTACATAAATTCCACGTTTTTATCAATAATCTAGCATGGTCCAAAACTGTTAAAGTTGTCATTATGCCACTCATTATCAAACCTGCTTTGGGCATCTAGAAGAGATCGGTTTAGCCTTGATTTGATTGAGTTACAGGATGTGTTCACAAAGTCAGGTTTATTCTGTGGATTGGAGTCCTTGAATTGATTCCAAAGCCAAGAAGATTTATAAATAAAGTTATGGCTTGGCTTTGGTGGTATTAGACGGTCATCCCTCAGTTCAGACATGTTAAGTAAAGAGTAGAGAGATATGGGTACCCTATATTTCACTATTTTAAAAAGTTCAGTTATAGTACGAAGTTTGTAAAGATTATGAACAGTAAGGAGTTTATGACTGTTAAATAGTGGTTTGGTTGATTCCTTGGAATAGAATTCAGCTCCTAGTTTTTGACAACATAAGGGTCTAACAAGTTTATTATGAACTACCGATTTAGAGCGGACACACTTTGCACATGGTTTAATACGTGGATTAACAGAGTTATTAACATTAGACTCATATTTACCCAGTATTTTACATTGAATAGGTCTAGAACGAGCACATGTTTTGAATTTGTTTTGGTATGAGTTTGCATCTCCAAAAATTATTCTAATACATCTCTTCTGTGTTAAGAATACAGGGTTGATAACTTGGTTAGAGACACCACCCCATACTGAGATGGCGAACGTAAGGTGTGATTCAAATAGTGTGTGGTATATCTGCTTGTGCAGTTTTATAGGTAGACAGTTTTTTATGCGGTAAATACGTCCACAAGCACTTCTTAGTTTCTTATTTAGTGATTCGATGTGAGGTTTCCAGTTCAGTTTTTGAAGGGTTATTTTTATATAGAGTCATTGTGACATTATGTGTATACTGTTTGGAACATTTTTATAAATAAAAAAAATGAATTTAGCTGGAATGTTAGGTGCTCTAAAAATAAACAACAAGTAAGGCAGTATTTTTGGCACTTCCCTACAGTGGTGTAACGTTGCCTGTTGGCGCCCTGCTGAAAAAGCGCCCCCTGTTGGCGCCCCTCTCCTTTTGGTGCCCTTCCCCAAAATTGAACAAATTAGGTGATTTTAGAGGATACGGCGGTAAAATCACTAAAAAAGTGTGTATCTAGAGAAAAATGCGCAGTTTTGCTAGTACCTTAGTTAAATTTTAAGTCATAGAGCAATCTTCTCAATTTTATGATTTAAGAATGATATTTTACCCTAACTATGATTTGGTGGCATTTCATACTTATAGCTATAATTCAAATTTGAAAGTCAATAGATTATTAGTGACAACAAAATTATAGTTTAAGACATCCACACTGCGCAGAGTGGAAGTTGATACTTAATATCGATATGTCTGTCCCGTTTTCCACAAAAAAGATTTCAAATTAAATTTTTTTCCAAATTATTTTTTACCAAGTGTGAAGTAACGTGATTTCTGACATTTATCTTAGTAGTGCAGGTGAAAGGTGACAGAGTTAGCAAAAAACGTTGAAATGAAGATTGAAACATTATTTTAGGCAAGATTTTGCTAAGAACCTGGTTCCTGGGTTCTCGACTTTCTAGCGGTGGGGTTTCCAATATTAGAATTTATGATATGCATTGATTGATTAATTGGTAATAAATTTAAGTTTTGTTTTTATTGTAGGCTACAATGAGAATTTTAGTTACAAATAGCATGATAGATCTGAAAATAGAAAAATAAAATCCTTATGAAAGTTTTAACCCAAAGCTAAAAATATAAATACTTTTTTAAGTAAGATCAAATAAAGCGGTTGATCAGTCACTCGTGTCATTACGACGACATTGTTATAGAAAGTCAAATATTCTCCAAAATAATTAAAAGACGATTCCCAATCAAGAACGTTTAAAAAAAATTATCCTTATTATATCTGTATGGTTAAACAGTGAAATGTTTATCTCCAAGGTAATTTTGTTATATTCAAATTACAATTTTTCTAAGGTGTAGACAGTTGTGTAAATTTGTGTCCAAATTTGCCATATTTTTGGAGTAAGGCCATACAGAATTAGCTGATCCAGTACTTGATATTTTAATTTTTACTGGAACTAAGATTCATACAAAAATTGTACAAACCTTCTCTTATTACCCAATACTTAAATTGGTCTCAGGGAGGAATATAGGTTCTTTTGCGATAGTCAAAACGCGACAACTAGCGCTGGATGGCGACAACTAGCGCTATCCAGCGCTAGTTGTCGCCATCCAGCGCTAGTTGTCGCTATCCAGCGCTGGATAACGCTGGCCAGCGCAAAATATATATGTTCGATAATTGTCGCTATCCAGCGCTAGTTGTCGCCATCCAGCGCTAGTTGTCGCCATCCAGCGCTAGTTGTCGCTATCCAGCGCTAGTTGTCGCTGGCTATGCGACACTGTCGCACGCGATAGTTTGCGATGGCCAGCGCAACTGGCCATCGCAGAAAACAGTTCGATAACTAGCGCTGGATAGCAACAACTAGCGCTGGATAGCGACAACTAGCGCTGGCCAGCGCTAAGCGATAGCCAGCGCTGGCCAGCGCTGGCCATCGATATCCAGCGCTGGCCAGCGCTGGCCATCGATATCCAGCGCAAAATTTTTGCGCTATTACCCGTCAGCTAGCGCTGGCCAGCGCTAACCAGCGCTAGCCAGCGCTAACCAGCGCTAGCCAGCGCTAATCAGCGCTAACCAGCGCTAACCAGCGCTAGCCAGCGCTAGCTGACGAGTAATATCGCAACTATATTGCGCTGGCCAGCGCTGGCTGACGAGTAATACTAATATCGAGCGTGCTAAATCACTCTACAGTCGATCTTCGAGATTGTTCTAAAAGGGCCCCCGATGGTTGTAACCAACTTCAATCGATGTATTTATATAATTAATAATTTCTCGTTAGGGTTAGGGTTTCAGCATATGTTTTTGTTAAGGATTGGGTTAGGGTTAGGGTTGGGATCAGATTAGAGGGTTAGGGTTTCGAAAAGTCGTTCAGAACCAGCTAGAGTCAGAGAATGGGTTACAAAAGTCACGTGACAGTCGAGTGTAAAGTAATCATCATCCGAGTAATATCGCAAGTATATGATATGATACATTGCGCTGGCTAGCGCTGGCTATAGCGCTGGCTAGCGCTGGCTAGCGCTGGTTAGCGCTGGCTAGCGCTGGTTAGCGCTGGCTAGCGCTGGTTAGCGCTGGCTAGCGCTGGTTAGCGCTGGCTAGCGCTGGTTAGCGCTGGTTAGCGCTGGTTAGCGCTGGCTAGCGCTGGTTAGCGCTGGTTAGCGCTGGCTAGCGCTGGTTAGCGCTGGCTAGCGCTGGTTAGCGCTGGCCAGCGCTAGCTGACGGGTAATAGCGCAAAAATTTTGCTGGCCAGCGCTAGTTGTCGCTATCCAGCGCTAGTTGTCGCTATCCAGCGCTAGTTATCGAACTGTTTTCTGCGATGGCCAGTTGCGCTGGCCATCGCAAACTATCGCGTGCGACAGTGTCGCATAGCCAGCGACAACTAGCGCTGGATAGCGACAACTAGCGCTGGATGGCGACAACTAGCGCTGGATGGCGACAACTAGCGCTGGATAGCGACAATTATCGAACATATATATTTTGCGCTGGCCAGCGTTATCCAGCGCTGGATAGCGACAACTAGCGCTGGATGGCGACAACTAGCGCTGGATAGCGCTAGTTGTCGCCATCCAGCGCTAATTGTCGCGTTTTGACTATCGCAAAAGAACCGGAATATAATAGTAAATTATTCTTTATCGCATCAAAAAATATTCATCCCAACCGAAGATACAGCCAATTAATATGCTAAACAGTCCACACAACGTAATATGACAACAAAACTGATCTTAATGTTGTTGCAACAATCATTGCTCGTTCTCATATTTGTTACTAAACAACTTCTTATTTCTCATCTAATTTACACATACAAAGACAAAATTTCAAAGTTATGTGTCGTAAATTTTGTGTAAAAATTTGACTGTATCTATTATTTATCAACTTTGTGGCTGCGTGGCTCAGTTGATAAATATTCTTGCTTGTTAATCGCGAGGTACCAGGTTCGATTCCCAGCTGAGCTACCAGTCATCAAGTGTGTGTCGTTGATGCTCAGCTAAGGATTCCGAGTGATCTATGCAGCCCCCGGTCCACTCAGCCGAATATCCGAGAAATCGGGTGTGAGAGTTAAATGAGGAGCTGCCAATTGCAGCTAAGTCTCGGACGAAGAAAGTATGGTACACACTACCTTAACCGTCACTGGGCTAATGTATAATTGAATCCTTTGGCTTCCTGTAATTGGCTGGTTACACTTGTGTAACAATGTGGCTGTGAATTAGTGTTTAAAAGTTTAATAAACCAATAGTTTCATGCAAACACAACCTTCAGTGTTTATGATTCATTTATTTATTTTAGCCCAGCAATTGGAATGGATATCAGTCAGTTCAGTATACTTGGAGAATCCCTGATAGCAGAAAGTTCAGAAGCTCTGGGATCTCAGGCGTCCTCTCAACCTTTCTCACCCAACCTATCTGACAGTGATGCAATAGATCTGTGGCAGCGATCAGTTTCCCAACAGACGGAAGAGAATATAAGCAACTTAGACCAACTCAACTCTATAAGAAATAACTGCAAGTGTGCGTGTCACTTATTCAGGAATGGTCATGTTTCAGATGAAACACCTTGTCAAGGTAATGTTGCAAATCAAAGCTTTTGAATTTAATCTTTAACTTTGAGGAATTTTATCTTTACCTTATATCAGCATACAATTAGAATAGTAGGAACTGTTTTAACAAAAATCAGATATTGTGATGTAGTTAAAATACAGGGTTACTTTAAAATCTCCAAAACCAGCTGGAATATGAGTAGCAAAGTTATTTCAGTTTGCTGCATAGAGAATGCAGATTTATCAAGTTCAATATCAGACATGATATCACACTCTCGACCCTCCGCAAGAACTAGTAGACACCTCTCAAACGGTTAGTGATCAACGTAAAACACTTGTTATATCACATAGTTCTGATTACCTCAATGAGGTTTTGTTATTAAGTTTATGATATCAAGCGTGTACCTTCACTCTTTCCGTTCTTTAAATCTTACAGTTTTATTAGAAAATTCATGTTTTCTAAACCACTAATTACCATTACCAGCTCCCTTTATCTCAGGTAGTAGTACGCACAAGATCACCACACCTCCAAACTCTGTAGTTTCTGAGAACTGCTCTGATGAGGTGATTACCTGCTCCACTCTAACATTATATAGACTATTGATATAACCTTACTGTAAAGTAGCTGAAAAATATGTCAGAATATTTCAGTCATTTTTTGGGGGTACCATGAGTGCCGTGAGGGTTAATGGGGAGCTGACAGACTGGTTTGATGTTAACTCAGGCACAGGTCAGGGTGACATTCAAGCACCTCCTGTCTTTAATTTCTGCCTAAACTTTTCTGCATTTCTGGCTGAGACCAACAAGACCATCAGTCAAGGCACAGTGCTGCAGAAGGAGATGAAGACGGTCGAGGAAAAGGTCATTCTGGACACCGATTATGCTGATGACATTATGCTATTATGGACAACTCAGGGGAAGGCCTACAGGAGTCAACTGATCTATTAGTTCATTACAGCTCCTAAGCTGGGCTCAGAATAAATGCAAAGAAGACCCAATGCATGGCTGTAAGCAAGTGCGCCTCCCAGCGACCTTTCATCAAGGATGATTGTATTGAGCTGTCGGTTGAGGGTGAACCCGTCGAGCAGGTTAGCAACTTTGTCTACCTGGGTGCAACTATCAGTGGGGATGGGACATTCGACAGAGACCTGGATGTCCGTATCCAGAAGGCTAATGGCGCCTTTCATCAGCTCTGGAACATTTGGAATAGCAGAACCATAAAGACTCCAACCAAGATCAGGATCTATAGGGCTGCTGTCCTCACCATCTTGTTGTATGGAGCTGAAGTCTGGAACACCACCAAAAAGCAGATGAAACGCTTCGAGGTTTTCCATCAGACCTCCTTGAGAAGGATCCTTAGGATTAAATGGTTCTTTCATGTGACCAACGAAGAAGTTCTTAGAAGGGCTGGCATCAAGTCTGTTGAGACTTTCATCAGTGCTGCCAGGCTACATTGGTATGGACATGTAGTTAGAATGCCAGACTCTAGACTACCGAGGTTTCTGTTGAACTGGAAGCCAAATTATGGAAAGAGGTCAAGGGGCAGACCCCGTAAGAACTGGAAGTCCTGCGTACTCGAAGATGCTGCTAAGTTTACAGGTGTTGAAAACATCGACAACAACACAACAAAAGCTTTGGCTACCAACCGAGTACAGTGGAGACATATGTTACGCCGCCGATGTGTGTGATGCAGGCCACTCCATCGACTAGGAGGAGACCTTACCATGTAACATGTGTATGTATGTAAAGTAACTAACATTATACAATAGACTATTGATATTACCTTACTGTAAAGTAGCTTACATTGTCCAGTATAATCTTACTGTAAAGAGCTTTAAATTACTAACATTGTCCAGTATAACCTTACTGTTAAGTAGCTAACATTTTCCAGTATAATCTTACTGTAAAGTATCTAACATTGTCCAGTATAACCTTACTGTAAAGTAGCTAACATTGTCCGGTATAATCTTACTGTAAAGTAGCTAACATTGTCCAGTATTTAACCGTACTGTAACGTAGCTACATAGCTTAATTATAATCCTTCATTAATTGTTTGTTTCTCTCGCGTTGTAAAACATCGTCGCCTGATCAAACAATCGTTTTATCTTTGAGACATTATGAAGCTGTCTTTATCACGCGAATAAATTGTATGTAGAAATGACATTGTAAAAATGTCTGATGTTGCAAGTTTATTTTGCATCATATCCTCAATCACAAACTGCTTGTCAATAAATATTGCTTTCAGACAGCATCAAAATTACATAATATATATCTTGAAATATTAAGAGATTATGCCACGTAATGTTTGCGTTGAAGTCTTAAATTTTACACTGACATACTTGACAAAACTTGGGTCGGTTCGGTTCTGACTTCTGTGTGAAGAAAAACTATTCAAGTTGGCAGAAAGAATTTAATCCATCGTACATACTTACAAAGCTACAATTTTGTGAAATTCTACTCGATCCACCGACCATCGTACCATAACAAAAACATCGCCACTACGGTTTATTTAAAATTTCCCATGTCAATGTCAAAGAGGTGTGAAAAATAAATTAAGTTGAGTCTTACCTCAGATTTTCCCACTGCAGGTGATAGTGTTGTCGCACAGTGGCACCCCTCCTTACCCCTCCTTACCCCCTCCTTACCCCATCCTTACCCACTCATTACCCCCTCCTAACCTACCTTCCACTGCAGGTGATAGTGTTGTCGCACAGTGGCACCCCTCCTTACCCCTCCTTACCCCCTTCCTTACCCCCTCCTTACCCCCCTCCTTACCCCCTCCTTACCCCCTCCTTACCCCCTCCTTACCCCCTCCTTACCCCTCCTAACCTACCTTCCACTGCAGGTGATAGTGTTGTCGCACAGTGGCACCCCTCCTTACCCCTCCTTACCCCCTTCATTACCCCCTCCTTACCCACTCATAACCCCCTCCTAACCTACCTTCCACTGCAGGTGATAGTGTTGTCGCACAGTGGCACCCCTCCTTACCCCCTCCTTACCCCCTCCTTACCCCCTCCTAACCTACCTTCCACTGCAGGTGGTAGTGTTGTCGCACAGTGGCACCCCTCCTTACCCCCCTCCTAACCTACCTTCCACTGCAGGTGATAGTGTTGTCGCACAGTGGCACCCTTCCTTACCCCTCCTTACCCCCTTCCTTACCCCCTCCTTGCCCCTTCCTAACCTACCTTCCACTACAGGTGATAGTGTTGTCGCACAGTGGCACCCCTCCTTACCCCCCTCCTAACCTACCTCTCACTGCAGGTGATAGTGTTGTCGCACAGTGGCACCCCTCCTTACCCCCTCCTTACCCCCTCCTTACCCCCTCCTTACCCCTCCTAACCTACCTTCCACTACAGGTGATAGTGTTGTCGCACAGTGGCACCCCTCCTTACCCCCTCCTAACCTACCTTCCACTGCAGGTGATAGTGTTGTCGCACAGTGGCACCCCTCCTTACCCCCCTCCTAACCTGCCTCCCTGGAATAATAGAGCGCCTGATTGGTTGTGGGATTGGAGCAGTCGTCCTGAGGCATACCCTCCCAAGGTATAGAACGTGTTCTTTTATTTATAATTTTGTAATTTATAAGTTTTCAATTGTTATCCATCTTAAAGTTTCAACGTCATAACTCATGATACCTTGACCAATAACAAAGGGCTGCTTTTTATTTTTGAACCATGGATGATCCCTTACTACTGAATTACATGTACTTTTTCTCGTAACAATGATCCGTAGAACTTGCAAATTATAGGTTAATATATATTTTTTCATATTTAGGTGCACTATATCTCCGCAAAAAGTACATCCAATTAACTACTTGCTTGATTCTGCATTACGGTGCCTCGACCAAAATTGAACGGAGAGTTGTTTAAGATAAAAGCTACTCACGCTATTGTGCTTTTCTCGGAGAAATAATACAATAGCGTTTTTGACTTTGTTATTCACTTCGAAAAGTACCCCAAGTGATATGCATAAGTGCGTAATAAATTGATTCTGAATACATTGCAAAAGATTTGATCCTGATTCATTAAGTTGAAAGAAGTCATTGCAATGCGTGCAATTTTGGGAGTGTGCTTTTTACTCCTGATATCTATAATTGGTTACATGGTCTCCTAAAACCTGTCCTGTGTACCTCTCTCTCTCTCTCTCTCTCTCTCTCTCTCTCTCTCTCTCTCTCTCTCTCTCTCTCTCTCTCTCTCTCTCTCTCTCTCTCTCTCTCTCTCTCTCTCTCTCTCTCTCTCTCTCTCTCTCTCTCTCTCTCTCTCTCTCTCTCTCTCCCTCTCTCTCTCTCTCTCTCTCTCTCTCTCTCTCTCTCTCTCTCTCTCTCTCTCTCTCTCTCTCTCTCTCTCTCTCTCTCTCTCTCTCTCTCTCTCTCTCTCTCTCTCTCTCTCTCTCTCTCTCTCTCTGTCTCTCTCTGTCCCTGTCTCCGTCTCTGTCTCTGTCTCTGTCTCTGTCTCTGTCTCTGTCTCTCTCTCTCTCTCTCTCTCTCTCTCTCTCTCTCTCTCTCTCTCTCTCTCTCTCTCTCTCTCTCTCTCTCTCTCTCTCTCTCTCTCTCTCTCTCTCTCTCTCTCTCTCTCTCTCTCTCTCTCTCTCTCTCTCTCTCTCTCTCTCTCTCTCTCTCTCTCTCTCCTCTCTGTAACACACGTAACATTGTTACAGTAAGACTAACATGTATATTTGTTACAGTAAATGACTAATAACTGTTCACTAAGAATGCAACATGTTCATTGTTCACACTTAACTCCTTTAGTATTCTCCACTACATAATATTATGTATGTGTTTATCAGCTGCAGGCTATAGTATTAGTATGTGTTTATTAGCTGCAGGCTATAGTATGTGTTTATTAGCTGCTGTACTATCAGGTTGTTATGATTAACGGTTACCTGCACCCCCCCCCCCCCCGGCCCCCTGGTCCGTGTATCGAGACTGATATTGTAGGGTTTCAATAAACACGTACAGAGCAAATAGTGTGCAAATCACCACCTAAATCATACTATCTGCTGATTAGAACACGTGAGTAACCAGTCCGCAGATCAGCATTTACCAATCAAAACCCAGAGTCAATGTCACATGTCAACTATGGCTCCCTTCCTAGCCTTTATCCAGACCCCGGGCTAAATGGGTATGTAAGACGTTTGAGAAATAACGTTATTCATGTTTGTTGTGTGTAAAAGTAATATACCTTAGTTCGTGTATTTATGGCGGTTTTTATTATGGCGGGTAAAAATAATGGCGGTAAAAATAATGGCGGTAAAAATATGGCGGAATTTCTGAAAAACCACCAAATATAACCCGCCATAATTAAACGAACTAAGGTATACACCGTAAGAAGCTAGTATATTCTGTAGTTCTGTCATTTGAGAAACAGTACTAGGTATATTGATATTACGGGCCCAACTCTCAACCCTACCAACAAACTTACCTCAAATTATTTGGCGTATAGTAGTGTTGAAAGTATTTAGGTTGGATGATCTCTGGAGAACTCTTTAAAAAAAAAATCTAACTGATACATTTATAATATGTAAAAATTATTCAAAAATATTGCGCATACATATCATATATCATGTGATGTGGATAATGATGATATCAATTACATTACCCAACGTACAGATCATGATCAAGCACAATACACACATGTCAACAATTATCCAGCTAATATTGAGCTGTCTTATAATTAGTAAACACGATAGTTACCCACAGTTAATTGGCTGTGTTTAGATTCTTCAATAATTAGCTCACATAGTTCGACAATAGTGATTAACATTTCCACCCTCCTTGTTTTGTGTACACAATAGAGGAGGTAAATGTACTTTGTACACAATACAGGAGGTAAATGTACTTTGTACACCGTCAAAGGAGGTAAATGTACTTTGTACACAATAGGGGAGGTAAATGTACTTTATACACAATAGAGAAGGTAAATGTACTTTGTACACAATACAGGAGGTAAATGTACTTTGTACACCGTCAAAGGAGGTAAATGTACTTTGTACACAATAGAGGAGGTAAATGTATTTTATACACAATAGAGGAGGTAAATGTACTTTGTACACAATATAGGAGGTAAATGTACTTTGTACACAACACAGGAGGTAAATGTACTTTGTACACAATACAGAAGGTAAATGTACTTTGTACACCGTCAAAGGAGGAAAATGTACTTTGTACACAATAGAGGAGGTAAATGTACTTTATACACAATAGAGGAGGTAAATGTACTTTGTACACAATAGAGGAGGTAAATGTACTTTATACACAACACAGGAGGTAAATGTACTTTGTACTCAACACAGGAGGTAAATGTACTTTGTACACCGTCACAGGAGGTAAATGTACGTTGTACACAACACAGGAGGTAAATGTACTTTGTTCACAATACAGGAGGTAAATGTACTTTGTACACAATAGAGGAGGTAAATGTACTTTGTACACAACACAGGAGGTAAATGTACTTTGTACACAATATAGGAGGTAAATGTACTTTGTACACAACACAGGAGGTAAATGTACTTTGTACACAATAGAGGAGGTAAATGTACTTTGTACACAATAGAGGAGGTAAATGTACTTTGTACACAATACAGGAGGTAAATGTACTTTGTACACCGTCACAGGAGGTAAATGTACTTTGTACACAACACAGGAGGTAAATGTACTTTGTACACAACACAGGAGGTAAATGTACTATGTACACAATACAGGAGGTAAATGTACTTAATACACAATACAGGACGTAAATGTACTTTGTACACAATACAGGAGGTAAATGTACTTCATACACAACAGGGGCGTGCACAGGATTTTTGAAAGGGGTAGGCGAGGAGTCGGCGCGGAGCGCTGGCTCCGAGGCTACCGCCGCGAGCGAAGCAGCAGCGGCAGGGGCCGGGGGCACAGCCCCTGGAAAATTTGTAACTGAATTATATGCTTAACTAAAAGGATATCAATACAGAAGGTTCAAAGCAGTTGATAGCACACTTGGTCATTAGAAATATTTTAATTTTCAAAACATTGGACAAATTAAGATTAAAGATGGCTTAAAATTTTAAGTTATTTCGGATATCTCTGGAGTCTGAAGAGTGGCAGTATGCTGTATGGTTGAGTGTACGCTATTTGGTACTGGATCGTGATATCCCATGATTCTAATATAATTATAAATTATGATTGAGGTTTCAATTTCTGAACTTTATCAGCCTTGATGCCAATCGGCTATCATGAGTAATCTAAAATTGTACATGAAGATACTAGATCAAAGTATATATACTTTTAGCTACTCTTTCCCATATTAATCTGCCTCTCTCTAATCTCTTGACTCTTTTGAGCTTGAACTGCATTTCTTAATATGTTTCCATTTCTGACTGTATTCTGGAAATATTAGCATTCATGTTAGTCATGTTATGTTTAATGTTTAATCCATTTTCAATCTTCCCAATTTCAATAGAATGCTGGTAACGTAATGACCATTAATCATGAATGATGACGGTTACAAAGATTCATTAGATCTAGAGCACGATCCTCGTCGATTCCCACCCAACCATGAAGGAGTGGCTACCTAGAATTGGGGCAACCATCACATGGAAAATGTATGCAGAAGGCATGTGTAATGGTCTCATTAAATTAGTTCGAACTTAGCACATTTGTTCAAAAATAACACGTCTTGTGTTTGATGTCGTTTAATTTTTTTGTGAAAATTTTTGATAAAAATATGTAAAAGGTAAATGTACTTTGTACACAATACAGGAGGTAAGTTTACTTTGTACACCGTCACCAGTGGTATACACAAAATACGTGATTGTGCTGTTAGTAGGTGAAGAGTGTGGTTAGTGTGTGATTGTTCACAATAATTACTATTATAGGACACCAGTTATGTGTGTACTTTCATAGCTGTGTCAACTCTTCACAATTACTAAAGGACACCAGGTTCCTGCATCATTAAGCGTGGACTGTGTGTTACATAATATACTTTTATTATTATTGTATATAATATAAATAATTTTAATATACATATATATACAGGGTGGGCCTCAAAAGTCTACCCGTCCTTATCTCTTAAAATTGTAACAGCTCGCTGAATTCTCACTAATTATTTTATTTCAGAATGGAAAAGCGCCATAACTTACGTTCTGATTAATATTTTTGCTTCAAATTTTTAGAGAATGTCAATCATAATTAGACACAACTTCGTGCCAAGTTTTGTGTGAGTCTGAGCTTGTCTGACAATTTTAGCTCCTGAGCGTGCTAGTTTTAATTTCTCACCCATAAATGTTTACATTGGTTAATAGGAACCACACAAAAAAACACTGGGTAAAAAAATTAAAAAACCACCGATTTATTTATCACCCTACGCGCGTGGGGTGGACTCCTGGGGTGGACTTTTATTCAGCGCGTATTTTGTAGCCTGTTCAACTTGACGTTTTGAATCGTTACTATCTCAATGTCACAGATACACAGAATGTGAGGTGATCATCTTAAAGAGAAACGTCTCAGCTTTCACCTGGTGTAAAGTTTATCTTTGTTCTCAAAATATAGCTCGCTCAGTGTGCAACAGAAGTTGACATTACAATAACCACGTCTGCGACCGGTCGTCAGATACCGGAGTCTTGCACAAAATTGGGTCCCTAAATTAAAATTCTATGACACAGTTACCATGCAGAAATGTCTGGAGTAACATTTGGTGAAAATTTGAAGGGTCTACTGTTAATATTGCAAAAGTTATTGAAAACAAACTAGCTTAATCAGAAGTTTTTGGGAAAATTTCAAATTTTGTACGTAGTGGGGTCTACTGGGGTGGACTCTCGTGACGCGCATCTGATGGCGTGGCTTTTTCAACAGCAGTCAGTACGGCCAATATCAGAGCACAAATTATTGTGAGTAAGACCTTAATGGTCAGCTATGAACCCCTCACTAGAATAGTAACCGTATCTAAAAACAAGGAAATGTTATTCCGTCAAAGCTCAAATTTTTTACTCTTCTCAGTGCAGTTATTATGAATGTACTAGCTAAGTATCGTTGATCGTAGCTGCATTACACAGTAGAAGGTAACCAAGGAAGACTGCTGATTAACGAAGCAATTTCAACGTGAACAGTTCCAAAATACATAATCATGGCGACGATAGTTCAACTTGAACCTTTATAGTTTTTACAGTCTAAGATCACAATAAAATCACGTGAACTGCGAATCACAAAATCAAATCACTCAAATCTGATACAGTCCCGTTACAGTACGCTTTCGTGACAACCTCAACGCTTAAAAAAATAAATATTCTGCAGTCTTGTGACCACCGATGGCCCTAACTCTCCCTTGTCCGCGAGGAGCATCGTTGCGACCATGGGTTTCAGTTCTTTGTTCTTCCCACTCGGCTTCGATAGATCGAATTGGCTGGAAGTCAATCTATCAGAAAGACCTTTGTCGATCTCAGGGGCGTGGTAAATTGTGGATGTCGGAGTATAAAGCTTCCTGAAAAGATTGAGACATTCACTCGGTCTGTTGTAAATATCGAATAGTCCTTGTAGGCCGAGATTTAATTTATGTTGGGTTTGATAACTAGAGAAGGCGATTTGATATTCATTGATAGTATAAGAGTATAAGCATATAAGCATAAGTGATAAGTTTATAAACCCCCTTTATGGTACCTCGATATCAGTATTGAGTAATCATCACTCAAAATCTACTTATTAAATTTATTAACTAAACAAGTTAATGTATTACCGTCCTAGAGAGGTTTTCCTGAGAATTTGAAGTCTCTGTAGGTTGCTGACATGTCTACTAAGCTCTTCGATTGAGGAGTTTTGGACCCCTCGGCGGTCCAAATGATTTATAATGCAGTGGGCATTTTCAACATCTATCGAGCTAAACGCCCTCGCAGCATAACCTGTAGAGAATGAACATGTCATCAATGCAAAGTTCAATGATAAAAATCAGAGTGGCCGATTTCAACGGGCAGAATTCGAATATCATGGCCTTGGGGAATGGACTATTTTTTGTCGATTTTACTAACCAAACTGGCAAACGATTGTTGATTTTCGTCACTAGTCTAAAATGAAAGCAAACGTTCGGCCGAACATTTACATGATTAAAAACTTACCGGTTTCTTTCGTTATTATGTACAGACATAGCCGGGCTTGGGTTCCGCATACGATATCTTCTATCAGATTAAAGTTGAACCCACACTTTGTACTGCTCGTGGGAGGAGAAAAGCAAACTGATACCTTTTCCATGAGCATCTCGTGTAGTACCATCATCATTTCGATTCTGATATCAGCTGCAAAATTCGTCTATTACTAAATGCTAGCTTTTCGAACTTCGTATCTTGGAAATAACAACTTCTATGAAAGAACACACACACACACACACACAGACGCACAGAGACACACTCACACACACACACACACAGACGCACAGAGACACACACTCACTCACACACACAGACAGACAGACAGACACACAGACAGACAGACAGACAGACAGACAGACAGACAGACAGACAGACAGACAGACAGACAGATACACACACCCACAAACACATACAGACATAGACACACAGACACAGCATAAACACAGACACACACAGACACAGACGGACACACAGACAGACACAGATACACACAGACATACACACACACCCACAAACACACCCACAAACACACACAGACACATAAACACACAGACACATACACACACAGACACATACACACACAGACACACACACATAAACACACATAGTTCACTTCAGTACACTACATTACAATTACAGACACACGCAGTACAATCAGAGACACACACTCGATACAAAGACAGACACAGGCACAAACACACAGAGTACACTTCAGTACAATCACAGACGCAGGCACAAAGACATACAAGAAGAGCAGATTGAAGTACCTTCATTTGCAGATGTTGACGCATTGATCTGTGGGATATGTTCTTCAGTCTGTAACTGATCATCTGCTAGAACTGTCTCATCTGGATCAACCGGAGGAGTATCTTCCGGCAGGAGTCTGAGTGGGTCTATCGGGACAGCCATGGATCGCTCTCCGTACCTTGCTGAAATAAAGACAAAGGTCAACGACGGATGTCGCATGTCAGTCCTGTAACTAAATGTAATGCAAAATAGTGAATAAATAATTTTTACATCTGAACGATTGTTCATTGATTCTTTGAATCTGTTCATTGATTCAAAGAATCAATGAACAAAAGTTCAGGATTTTACCTTCTGTTAAGCTGTTAGCACTGACTCTAGCCCCCTCTCCCTACAAAACGACCATATCTCGGGCTGAAGCTTTCAACCGTCTTGCCTCAGCAGCCATCTAGCACAGTCGACCTGTCCTGTTAATTATGTGATCATCAAGTTACCAAATTTAATCCTTCAATATTCAAATAATTGATTATCAGACAAAACAGAGTTTAGAGCTCGACGTATGCTTCAGGGTTTCACACTGTGCTGTTATCAAACGCATGACTAAAACCTCTTGCTACTATTACCAATGTTAGATAAACCCATATTGTTAAGGCGGTCAAATGATTTACCTGAGTTGATCGCGTCCATGAAAGGGTTCAACTGCGCTCTGTCCAGCTTGTTAATGTCCGCTCCAGCAGCCAGCAGTGCCTCCGCCTCCGTCACTCTCCCTGCTTTGCATGGCCAGTGAAGCGTAGAGCTCCCCTCTAAGCTCTGTGACGATCCGACGAAGGATCCAGATTCCCTTCTTTTCTCTTGAGATTGCTTCAATTCTTCCTGGAGTATGCGGATTACCATTTTATACTTCCATACAGGGCGCGTGAACAATCAGCAATGAATTATCAATTAATCAATCTAGTTTTTGAGTAAAAAGTCCACAGATTGTGATACATTGGATTTGATATTGGAAAAGACATGGCTTACCAAGTACCTTTTCATGTGCTTTTTGGAGGACAGGGATGACTTATTCCTGCGTGCCATTTCACCATAACTATCTGCTGTAACAGCAAAAATTAGAATTATGTCGGACATAATTCTAAAAAATTGGAACATTGTAGTTAATCAGTGTGGTGCTAACAACAGAGAGCGATTTGAACGGTAGGCAATTTCATAAATTTCATTAACTCGATATAAGGATGATTGGAACAGGCTAAAATCTACAATGTGGCATTAATAACTGGCTATATCGCTGCATTAAACGATTAAAGTATTGCTAACTATGGATATTCTAAGTGATCTAGGCAGAGGGGAACCGGCACAGCCAGATTGCGTTGTCTTCACTTTCAGTGACTAAGTTTCACGATAGAAAGGGGAGTAGGGGATTATGACGGAGTGAAATTTATTTAGCAGGGCAAACAAAAAACAACTGACAGCACTGAGCAAGTGAACTGGAAAATTGAGGAACGAAAATAACAGTGGTTGTCAGCCCTTTCCGTAGCAATCAGGATTTCCCAGGAGATCGATCAGGCAATCAGGATTTCCCACGAGAATGCTCGAGTCAACGCGCGCACTTGTGTCACGTGACGGCCACGTGACGCTCTAATCGTTGTCACGTGGTACAGAAGGGAGGTTCCTATAGCGTCGATCTCGACAAGAGGGAGTTTCTCACGGTTTATCTTCAATAACTATCGCTATTTTTATAGTAGAGAGTTGAAACTTTCACCAAATGTTTCCCTAGACATTTCTGCATGGTAACTGTGTCATAGAATTTTAATTTGGGGACCCAATTTTGTGCAACACTCCGGTATCTGACGACCGGTCGCGGACTTGGTTATTGTATTGTCAACTTCTATTGCACACTGAGCGAGCTATATTTTGAGTACAAAGATAAACTTTACACCAGGTGAAAGCTGAGACGTTTCTCTTTAAGATGATCACCTCACATTCTGTGTATCTGTGACATTGAGATAGTAACGATTCAAAACGTCAAGTTGAACAGGCTACAAAATACGCGCTGAATAAAAGTCCACCCCAGGAGTCCACCCCACGCGCGTAGGGTGTTTATGTTTCACCAATTCTATTCACCATGATACATCGCACATTCCATGTGAGAAGAACGATATAAACAAGCAGGAAGGATCATCTGTGATAGTCCTTATCAGTTAAAATATAGAGAGAATGGAATGTGCGATGGATTCATGTGAATAGAATTGGTAAAACGTGAATAAATCGCTGGTTTTTTTATTTTGTTACCAAGGATTTTTTTTGGTGGTTCCTGTTAACCAATGTAAACATTTCTGGGTGAGAAATTCAAGCTAGCTCGCTCAGGGGCTAAATTGGTCAAATAAGCTCAGTGAAGCTCGCAATCACACAAAACTTGCCACAAAGGTTTATCTAGACTTGTTATTAACATTCTGTGAAATTTAGAAGCAAAAATATTTATCAGAACATAAGTTATGCCACTTTTTGTTTAAAAAATAATTAGTGAGATCTCAGCGAGCTGTTACAATTTTAAGAGATAAGGACGGGTAGACTTTTGAGGCCCACCCTGTATATACATGTCTAATATAGTATATATTATACTTTACTTTTATCATGGCTGTATCAACTCTTCAGACACTGACAAGTAATAACGTATTTTGTTTACATTTTCATGAGTATTGAGTAAACCTAGTATCTGTGAAATGACTCCTAGAATACCCACTGCTCCTTCATAAAATTGTTCAAATTTAGAAAACCCCACTACTTATGAGAAACCAGTTCGTATTTCTCACAAGTTACGAGATGTATAAGTTTTAATTGATGATCAATTAAACGGAATGTATATTTTCCAGTGTCACCATGTGATATTGATTGCGTGTGTCTGATATAAATATTATCAGGCGGTCGGTGACGTTCGCAAAACAACGCCAATTCAATGTTTTGCTTACAAGTCCTAGATCATTCTAGATTATATTACTCAGCTGCAAAGACTGTAGATGTGGAACATCCAACTTACTGACTGCATATTTTTAGAAAATATTACTGAGAAATCTATTAATAGAATCGTACATATGGGTAATCTACCACGTGGTTAAGCACGTGGTCTAGCACGTGGTTTAGCAAGTGGTCTAGCATGTGATCTAGCACGTGGTCTCGCATGTGATCTAGCACGTGGTCTCCCGCTCAAAATAATTAGAAAGCCCCGGATGATCACAGCACTAGAATGTTCTATAAGTTCTAGAGTGGTGGGACTTTTTAAGATTGGTTTAGAAATAATTAGATGTGATGTACATTTTGTATTATGGGGGGGGATTATGGAACGCTTGTAACTCCTGCTACCCTGGCCCTTCTGTTACCCCCCTTTGAAGGTTCAGAATTATTTTCTGAACGAAAGCTTAAAAATAACCGAGTAATCGACCTTGTTATTAACTAATTTTAATGACTATGTACTAGTAGTGAAGTGGTATTGTGGAAATAAGAGTTATTTTGTTTTTGCATTTACCGCTCTTTCACAAAAAATAATATGTTTCAATAATCACGCCAGCCAGATATTTAATGTGGCATGATACAGTGCGGTATAGCGAGTGGTTTAACAGTAATTCCGTGTAAATTTGTTAGAATTACTTTTTATCTGATGGTTCGGAAAAATGTGCATAAATCAGAACACATGAAAAATTTTATTGTTTCTTATAAAGTTTCTAGTATTACTATTATCCTCCTGGAGTCTAAGAGCCGAAAATATAATAGATCTCATAGCAAGTTAACTCTAATCTTATCTAATTACCTACTCAATGATACATTAGAATTGAATTACAAATAATATGATACCGACATGACAGTAAATACTTAATGACATAAAAACGTCAAGAAAATATGTGTATATTTCACATTATATATGTCTGTGATTTATTCACTTGCTAAATATAAAATATGACAACAACCACTTCTCATTTCTCAGCATTACATGCCCACTGCCCAGTATGTAAACGCCATTATATGTTATAATACATGTTAAAACACATGTTATACATGTATATTGTATAATACATATTATAACACATGTTATTATACATGGTATACATGTATAAATCTGTCCGACTGTACAGTACTAATAAACCACGAAGATAGCTAGAAAAACGCACACTCGCCAGTACATCATTTTCCCATATTATGACAATGTAACTTGCCCGTATAATGTACAATATTGCTGGCCTGTAATTGGTGAAGATCAGAATATTGGAGCTTCATGAATGTAGAACCCAATAAACTTTCCCAATATTACATGTCAGACACGTAGAGGCTACCCGCTACCCATTACTTGAGGGTACTCTAATTGCTCGGTAACTGCAAAGTACTGTTATTACATTGGAGAATATTAACTTTAGATTTTTACACTGAGAGGAAGGATCGTTAGTGTTGTGATGCCCAATATTTAAAAATAGCTTTCAAAATGCATGCGTAAATTGTCTTCAGCTGAATTAAGAAACTAAAATTTATTAAAACTAAGAATTGAATGTTTAATGTATTGTTACTCTGGGTTACTATATCAATTATTTCATCTATCTTAACTTCTTAAGAAAGCAACCATCTTTACATTTATTAATATGTAGTAACTTGAGTACAAAAAATGTGTTGGAACTAAAAGTACACTATTATAGACTATAGAGTATAGACTGTGTTGTTATATAACGGTAGGTTGATGGCAAGGTCAGGTAGTTGTGTGATTATGTGTGATTATGTGTGATTATGTGTGATTATATGTGATTATGTGTGATTGAAGCGGGATATCATCATATTATTCCGATAACTGATAGATAAAATGTCTGATGATAACATCCGAGTAATGACTATACCCTCGCTGTGAGTTTTATACCTCAGGTAGCTTTATCCTGTCTACTGTATAATACTACCACATATATTGTATCCTCACATATTACTTACTCTAACTATACACCAAACTATCCTTCTGGGCTGCTTTCATTCTAGAGGGTTCCAGGCTAAAATACTGCACTTTGTTGACGGGGAAGATCTTTGACTTGATGTTATCAATTTAGCAGCTGAGACATAAGTTTTTATTACCTGTCAAACTACACATTTTATTACATTTTATTACATTTTATAACACTAAATATAAAGGTATCTCCTCTAGATTGTAAGTCTCTTCTCATATTTCATTCTGTCTATGAAGATTGGCTGTTCGAGTACATATCACTGGGCTGAACACAATGCTCTCATATTGAATTAATTAAATAATTTAACTTGGATTTCAGTAGAAAAATACACTGCGCTGTAAATACTAAGTTTGATCTGTGCATGTAGATTAAAGTACACGAGCAACACGACAGAGAGAGGATTAATGTTTAGTAGAATATTTGTATTGTGAGAATGTTAGAATGTGAATTGTGGGACTTGTGTCTCATCTTGCAAATGGTAGTTATATATTTAATCCTATATCAATAATGACACAACGCTTCTTGCTAACCCAGCAACTAACCCTATACATTACATATCTAACCCTGGTCTGCTGTGGAATGCTACTACCCCCATATTTCCATATTATGGAAGCTACATCCGCCCTTATAGCTACCATCTATAACTAACCTTATTAACAATTGTAACCTAACAAGTGTTCTCCTCAAGTGTCTCCTGGTAACCTTGTAACCTGGTAACCTGGTAACCTTGTAACTTTATAACCTGGTAACCTTGTAACCTGGTAACCTTGTAACCTGGTAACCTTGTAACCTGGTAACCTTGTACTCTTGTAACCTTGTAACCTTGTAAACTAACCTGGTGTTTGTCCCCAAGGGTTGGCCACTAGACGCTTGTAACCTGGTAACCTTGTAACCTTGTAAACTAACCTGGTGTTTGTCCCTCAGGGTTGGCCACTAGACGCTTGTAACCTGGTAACCTTGTAACCTTGTAAACTAACCTGGTGTTTGTCCCCCAGGGTTGGCCACTAGACGCGTCCCCCGACCTGGTAACCTTGTAACCTTGTAAACTAACATGGTGTTTGTCCCCCAGGGTTGGCCACTAGACGCGTCCCCCGACCTGGTAACCTTGTAACCTTGTAACCTTGTAAACTAACATGGTGTTTGTCCCCCAGGGTTGGCCACTAGACGCGTCCCCCGACTACCCTACCTCCGAGGACCGCATAACCAGGATACAGATATCAGGACTGATATGTTCCCACATAGTGGTCCTACTTATCGGCATCTACATCGGAAGGAGGCTGAAACAGTCATGACCTTCCCTCCATGGTATTCACATGTGATGAGAGTTCAGATTGAGAGGGACTACTGAGCAGTTATATTGGGTAGGAAGAGAAGGAGGTGAAATTTGTCATGCTTTGTGTGGATGAAAATTGTAAAGGTGCGGACTGTACACGGAGATTAGTTTCACCTTCAGATTGAAGATTTAGTGTTACAATGTTCTGATAATGTTATATGTATGATATATTATATTATAATCGTCTTGTTTGTTACCGGACATTGCAGGACATTACCGGACATGCTCAACATTCCAGGGCTAGAGGTAGAATTTCAAAATTTGTGTGTATTGTTGCTCTTTAAAATATATGTGTATGTTAATTTGATTTTTGGAGTACATTATATCGGTTGCTCTCTCATTAAAAACGTATGATGTGCTAATACTGAATATGTTCAATTTCAATATCTTTGTAAGCAATGCATGTCTTGTTGGTCAATTTAAAACGGATTTATCTTCCCCGCTGGCTCGGAAGGGTTAATTTGTTTTATATTTTTAATCAGATCCCTGCAGGCCCTCCGAAATATATTAACCGCTTACTTTGTTGTTCAAATAACACGATATTAAAAGCACTTGGAATGCATGATCAAATGTTAGCCTTAAACGCGACCCTGAGCAAACCTCGTGGTAGACCCCGTAAGAGACTATTAATTAATTAATTAATTAATTAATTATTATAGGATTGTTTATCATTTAATCTTTTGAAACTTTTAAACTTTAAAGTTAGATTACAGCTGCAAAGGATTATGTTTACCTCACATTAATTTAAAATTGATTTGTAATTTGCTGAAATAACAGTGTTATAAAGTTATTATCTTTTACCATTTTGTTAGTTATAAAAATTTCATCCTAAATTGCTGTTTTTGTTTTTTATCTAAATCTTACTATCTTACTACAACATTAAACAGTCAACTAATAGTTCTCTTGAAATTCACGTCACTCTTTTTTGTGTATGTTATATCCATAACGACTGATCTCAACACGACAAAGTATATTACATAGTCAGTATTTACGCTACATTTGTCATGGTCCCAACAAAATCATTACAACAATCAATTGAGCATTTTAATGATATCTTCGTGGCACAAACGTCACATGCTTGCCGTATTGAATAGAATATAACGTGTGAGTGGTGTTCTAAATTCCTCACACTTTTTAACATGAGACCACATGATCATGGTAGACTGCTGAACTTTCTAAATTTTTCTGTGAGTGTAGTTTAGAGTTTTCTGACGACTATGGTTGTAGAATTAGGGTTTTAGTATTTTTAGCAACCTGTGTGTTATAATGTACTTAAACGGACGGGTGGTGACATTTCTATTAATATAAGTATATTTAATATAAGTATATCTACACGATGCATGACTTCTCCAACTTAAACAATAAACGATTTTCTCACTCACACACACTTACACGGAAAATAATTCTGCTGTCCATCCCGCTATATAACACTGTTAACAGTCCTGAGCAAAGCCATGGAAATAGGTGCAAAATGGAATGCGCGGCAATATTAATTTCATACCAAATGGGTTGTGGAACTTGATTTCAATAACACAATTGCGCGCGCCCGCGCGAGCATGTTTAATTTCATAATATTAGTCGGCAGTACCATCAACCATATCATGTGCATATCGTGTGAGATATTCCAGTATTGTCAGACGCTGCCCGGCGGCCGGCCCATGAACATCCCTATGAAGGGGTCCATCCGAAGCTGTACAATTCCGGTGGTGTAGCTACTAGCTGCGGTAGTGCCGGAAATCCCCAGTTCTATCCTTATAAGGCATGATTGTCGTTTGATCCATGATCTGAGCAACCCGACCAAATACAGACTAAATCTAGTAGTTCTGAGCGACCTACAAGCAAAACTTCGGTCAATGTTATTTTCACCAAACTCGCACTGAATTTGCTGGTCTCGCTCCTGATGACCTGATCTCACGTTACTGAGAAGAAATAAAATTTGCGAATGCATGCGCCGTGCAACATATATTCCCTATATTTGTGTTTTTTGCCTTTTCGCTGAAAAATGGATAAGGAGAAGAATTTAATTGTTAATGATTCGAGGAAACCTTTATTACAAACAAAAATGAAACACAATCTTCAAAATACTTGGCTAAGAATTTAACAAGAATGACAGTTCCAAAGAAAGAAAGAAGGACTAGCTTTGGTCGTAATAAGAGTAGATATCCGTAGAACACGTGGGAATAGCACAACGTTGCCACCTCGTGAACAGGCTGGTGGTGTAGCACCAAGCTGTAGACTCTCCGCTGGGGTTCCTGCACTTGTTGTGGGGCCCGATGCCCTGGCTGGAGTAGCCGCTGGTATGGTAGCCGTGAGGGTGGGGGAAGTCACTGTCCCAATTCTGGCAGTTCTTTCTTCCGAGAGTGGTTGTGACGTCACCACGGTAAAGAGAGCCGTCCCCATCCACACAGTCCCTGTTCCAGATGCATGCTGGCACGTCACAGTATTCCCATCGTGTGTCCGGGTCGTTAGTGTAGCACCACGGCCTTTCCTTGTTAGCCCCTGTGGAGATTCATACGGGTTTAATAGATATCAAATATTAACACAAATGCTCTGAAGTATATCTCTTAAATAATCTTAATCAAGAATGAATAATGCGTACTTCAATCACAATTTATTAATCAGATTTGTTCAAAATGCATAAAAACACAGGCTGTTTCTGTTTTGAACTGGTTTAGAGTACCTGGATTTCTGCAATGGTTGTGCTTCATGTTCAGTCCATCCATGTGCTCGTGGGGATGAGTTGCGTTCCACAGCTGACAGGACTCTCCGCTCAACGTGTAATCCCTCGTTCCCGCGTACTTGTCTCCCTTCTCCGTGTAACAGAACTCGTCATTAACCTTAGTCTTAACACTGAGTGCTCCATTGAAGTTCAGGACCATCTGCAGATCGGAGTATTCTCCGCCCTCCGAGATGAACTTGCTGTACCCTTTACCGTTCTCCGAACTGTAGATTGTCCATTCTCCTCTGAACGCTCTCACTGAGTAGATAACCTCATTAAGCTTATCCATGGAATCGTACACCTCGATCTTACGACCACCAAAGTTCTTCATGGTGTATCCAGCCAGGACAGGTCCCTGGCAGTCACTTTTACTGTCTGAACCAGTGGTGTAGGTGAAGTGAGTGGCGGGACAATCGTCACAGAAACTAGCTCGCTCGAACTCGGTGTATTTTCCTAAAGCACACTTGCTGCACTTGGGACTGTTGATGATGTCACTGAAGGAACCCGGCTCACACTTCTCGCACATTTTGTCTCCTCCGACGTGTTTGAAGCCAGGAGGACATTGTTCCCAGTAGCACTGCGAAGGCTGGGAGCTGCCCACAGATTTGGTAGTCTTACCCCACTCGCAACTCTTACAGTTAGTGCTAGCTTCCTCGGCCTGGTAATACCCTCTTGAGCAAAGTTCACAGGTGACTGCCTTGTCTACAGCTGAGAATCTGCCTGGCTGGCACACATCACAAGATGCTTGGCCCTCCTCCGATGCACTGGTTCCGGCTAGACATGGCCTGCAGAGTGTCTGCCCTGTCAGATCTTGGTAGAATCCTGGGGGACATGGTTTGCACTCTTCCTGCGCCTCAATATCTGTGAAATGACCTGCTGCGCATGGGGTGCACACCACATTGCCAGATCCTTGAGAGAAGGTTCCTGCAGGACAGAAGTGGCAGTAATCCTCTCCTTCCGTGTCTCCGTAGGTTCTAGGAGGACAGGGCTCACACCGGTCCTTTCCTACCAAGTTCTGGAACTGTCCTATAGGACAAGGTAGGCAAGAAGTCTGCCCCTCAGCTCTGTTGTAGTGACCCTTATCACAACCTTGGCACTCTGTGGCTCCTGTAGAGTTGGTGAAGAAGCCAGAATCACAAGGTTTACACCCTTCTCCTTCCACATCTCCGTAACTACCTACCTCACATAATTTACAGAAAGTCTGTCCGGTCTGGTCCTGATAGGAACCAGCCTGACAAGGCTTGCACTCTGTCTGACTCTCTTCATCCAGATAGGTGTTCACTGGGCACTCTTTGCACTCAGGAGACCCCGCCTGGTCAGCGAACTTTCCCTTTGGACAAGGAATACAGTAATCGAACCCAGCCCGGTTCTGGTATTTACCGATAGGGCAAGGGTCGCATTCCAGCGAACCTATCTTATCAGTGTAGTAACCTTCAGCACAAGGGGTACACTCTTCATTACCAGTGGTGTCTGCGTAGTGTCCGTGAGTACATGGCAGACAAACTGTGTGGTTGTCTGAACTGTGGCTCTGGATCGGACACATTAAACATTCCACCGCTCCCGCTTCTGACACATATCCTGAAATGTTCGTTGTTACTGTTAGTTCATGTGTTTCCATCTGTGAGAAGATTAATTTACAGCGGTAGTATTTGAAGTGTCTGTCATTGGTCGAATTTTTGTCTATCAATTCGTGGGATTTGCCACCTTTAGTTCGTTTGAACTACACTGTGATTGTTACCACGCCTCATTCTCTTTGTCAAAAGAAGAATTAACGAGGTCTTAATATTCACAATTGATTGATCAAAGAATTGCACCTTGCCAGATGGCAAGAAGTATAAATAAGTAACTATTTTAAGAAACTAATGACAAAGAAGACTTCAGGTCTTAATTCAACGATGTCAAAAAGTTGGCAGTGATTCTAGGAAATGATTGACCATCTGTTAATAGATTGTCAAATCTTCATCGGGCATCCCTTTTGAAGTTTAACTATAAAACGTGGCATCACCACAGCCTCATCAATCCCGATATTGAACCCCAACGTTACCGTCCAACTTCTTACAACTAACTATGATGCTACTCTTGGTCCTGTTGATAATCCCCTTGGCTTACTCAGACGAATGTAACATAGACAACACTGATATGTGGTGGGGTGATATAGGAAACTACAAGGCTTCAAGCTTCATAGAATGCAAAGCAGCCTGCCGAGTCAACTCAGCCTGCCAGGCTGTCGTCTACTACAAATCTGGAGGAGACCGAGGACGATGTTGGTTGAAAAACGGAAGCTATGGCTCTCCAGGACACAACGGTGGCTGTATTGCTGCTAAGAAGCCCTGCATAAACCTAGAGGGGCCGTGCCCAGCAGGCCAGTACAAGACTTCTCCCACCAGCTGTGGAACATGCGGGAGGAACCAGTACAGCAGAGCAGGAGCACATGTCTGCACTAGCTGTCCTGTTGGAACCATCTCCGAGCCTGGTTCTGACAACTGTACTCCTTGTGGTAAGGGACGCTTCAGGAACAACATCATGGACCACTGCATGGACTGCAAAGTCGGCTCCTACAACGATGTTCCCAGTGCCTCCACCTGTAAAGCTTGTCCTAAAGACGGGGACCTGAGTGCTGGAGCTGTCGCCCCCGAGCACTGTACCTACATCATCGCACCGGAGTGCCCTTACGAGCTTGTAGAGCCAGCCCAGACCCTGCAGCAGGCTAAACGAGCTTGTGCCAAGGATAGTGCTTGTTTGTCTGTTGCCTGTCATCAGACTATTGCAGATCACTGCATGGTGGCCAGAAGTATGGAGGGGGGACCCAACATGAAGACTGTTTTCAAGAAGTGAAAATTATGAGTATTATTTCTTATTATTAGCAGTATCCATTATCCTTATTGTTTTTCTTTGCTATCAATTGCATAAATTTCAACTTTACTACCTATATAAGTGATCCGTCATCTTTCTGTTAGTTGAAGAAAAATCTCACGAAACTTATTTTTAATTCACTGAGGAGTGTCCCACATTTAATAATTAACAAACCTGGTTCACAAGACACACAATTCTCTTCCAACTCATCTAGCTTGAACCCTGCATCACAGTCCAGCCCCTGAAATCAGGAGATTCGAATAATTAAGAAATTCAAATAGTTTCAACGAATGTGACTTCACGGGAGATATGTTTACATCTTGTTAACTTGTAAATGTGTAATTTCAATAGTAACTAAGAATATGTCAATCCTCACCTGAGCGGCCAATATAAGGCACGGTAGCACCAAAAGTAGAAACTTCATAACTTTAACTGTTAACTCCTCGAACTGTGTTCACAGATTGTCCTACAATTGGGGTTACTCCTCCCAGCTGTGCTGGATCAAGGTGTCAGATCTAACACCTCTCCAGACTTCTTAATTGGTTCGTTACCATGGAACCCGTGATTAGTTTCATGGGTTACATGGTGCCTCGTTCGCACCACATGGCTTGTTTATGTAATTTAATCAAGGGAAGTTGTGGGTAATCTGTGTTCTGTGATGGCAGCATGAATTCCCATCCATTGACTGTAGAGTTAAATAGTTGTGAAATTCGTAACCCGCAAATGGATACATAAAAACTGGAAATTTTAAATAGCATGTTATATAATAGATGTATGGTTATTGGTTGATTGTTATACACTATGTGTAAGAATTTTTGCTCAAATTTTAAACTTGTCTCTCACATGAGCAAAACAATCATTTGAAACATAAAATGATAGAATAGGATTTCAAATCTTGAGGTAAATTTACTCAGCGACATGCATTACAATTACAGAATTACATAACATTTCTCATTCCCCTTCACGGCGATGTTTTGCAATAAAGCAAGTGCCAGGTCAAGCACCATTACATAATTTTCAAGGTCTGTCAATTTCTCCCAAATTAGACCTGTCTTGATAGTGATTGCAAAAGTCTAACACCGATGAAGTCATTGGATTTTGACCGACATTTCATGTATGCCTAATTTTGAAGTCTCAATTCCTGTATTTCAGCAGGGCGACCAGTACCACTAAGTTCAATATTAAATATGTCAAATTCAGACAACTTGTCCAAGACCAGAGCAAATATTAGCTTCTAATTGAACAAATATAGCTTTTGAACAGAGTACGTCATGTGCAATGAATTACAGTCGGATCTAATTTTAACTATAAACAATAAACATAAACAAGTTTATAAGTACTGGTTAATGACTGGCTCTTAGATTAGATCTCGATCATATCAATAACTGAGAAACTGAAAAAGTCTGTTTCGACGACCCTGATCATACAGTCGTCACTGAACCCCAGCCAAGTATGTATATTGCATCAGCAGCTCGTAAAAATTGTGGAGAAGTTGATGATAGATATAGATTTTACAGAGCGGTAGAGTGCAGAACGTTGGTTCTTGAGGGCCTGGTTCTTAAGGGCCTGGTTCTTAAGGGCCTGGTTCTTGAGGGCCTGCTTTTAACCTCTTGGTTCGTGCTGACACTTGTTAGTTTCCTCCGCATGCAGCCCGTTCTCTGCAACAAGCACTCCACGACAACCTGCACAAAAAGTTTGGGTGGGACGTGAAAGGGATCAGATCCCAAAATAACCAACAAGATTTTAAATTTGGGGTGCCAGATATATCTTGAGACCGAAATTTCAAATCAAAATGGCCAATACTTATAAGGGCCATTCATTATTTTAGCGGCTATTTTACTTTTGATGAAGATTATTAACCTTTCTGAAACTGTTGTAGCTCATGGTGTAGATAAAAGGGTTTGCGATAACGTTCGCTGAGAGAGCGAAAGAAGACACAGTTACCATCGACATGTTATCTGAAAAGTTATGAAATTTCAAGTTTCAATATTTTGCAAATTTTTCTTTGATTAACTAACCCATCAGATTCAAAATCTGACGTCTGAACAAATATGAAAAGTTAAAGATTCAGAAGGTTGTAGGTTTATAACCTACCAGGACGCGCCCCGAGTTGGACTCGTCGAAAAAAATATTTTACGAGTATCACCCGTTAATTCAGAAGGACGTACCAACGAAAGGTACGGCAAAGACAGGAAGGTAAGAGAAGATATAGGTCCAGCAGATGAGGGACACGGTGGTAATAGCCGAACTATTGGGTAAAAACTTTCCTGCAAATCGTTGTTATGTAAATGTAATTTATTGGTTGAATTTAAAGCAAGCAACTCATCCTCCAGTTAGATTAGCAATCTCTATTATAATTCAGAGAATTATTTATGTAGGATGTACGACCGCCCACGTGCAAATCAGACGAGAAATAGGAAGTTGCATAGTGACCATGGTAACGAGGATTGTTACACGCACGTGCACGTGCAATGATTGTTTTAACGTCATTTTGATCGGTTTTGTTGATATTACGCTGTGTTTAGTACAAGCAACATTTAACTCGGCTGTATCTTTGGTTGTGACGGATATTTTTTGACGCGATAAAAACTGACTGCCAAAGAAATAGAAAACTACTAGATTCATCCCTGTTACCACGGGCTTCCTAGTCTCTACTATAATTCAGATAATTATTTATCACAGTGCTGGCAAGCACGAGCGGTGTCTTTATTGTGGGAATACTATGTACCCCCTTTACTATTGTACCCCCTTCACTATTACACCCCCTTTGGTACACGTTGGAAGCCTCTTTCGTGCACGCGAAGCGTGCACTCCGGCCGGAGGCGGCGGCCGAAGGCCGCCGCCTCCGGCAGGAGTTTTTCAGGCATTAAGACTCATCGGAAGTCGTTCAGCAGATTTATTTTTAGTTCAAAACATTCTAATTTGATGTCAAAGATGACAGAAATAAGAAAAAGTTATGTTGAGATTTTTAAGAAATTTGCATAAAATACGCGCCAGCACTGTTATACGAAATTCGGTAAAAAACCCAAAATCGCCATATTCAGGTGCCTTAAAAACCATGTTAAGATTGAGTTAGAGATCTGAAACTTTGCAGGGCGTCTAGACGTCGACCTAATCGACTGTAAAAAAAGTTTCAAGTTTCAGGAGCACCGGGAAATGGGTTTTCTAGAACCCCTGTTTTACGACAGATTGTCGTGATATATACATACATATACTTATATACATCCATAGACACAGTGTTTCGTCCTATTAGGACTCATCAGTATGGCTCAAATCATCAAGGTTGGTTTTGCCGATGGCGGGTATCGATCCAGCAACCTTGCGATTACTGGCTCTACGCCGCGCCACTGGGCCACCAAGGCCTTAATAATATGAATATATATATGTATACTTATATACATATATATATTCAGGGATAGACGCTTTGCCAGTCAATTATAGGCTATATTTAGGTGTCCGTAGATTCAGAAGCTTTAAAGATACAGCCATTTCGGACCTCAGGTCTTGAAGATAATTATTTAGACTTTAGTTTAAATTATATTTAAAAGTAATTTAACGTCGTCATCACCACTTGATGACGTCATCAAGTTAACCATTTTTAAAACTTGATTTTTGATAAAGTAATCACTTTTAAAATCGATTTTACGCTATTAAGAAGTAATTTTATTCAAAATCTGAGGACATTTTCATCTTAGATAATTGTTCAAGAATTCTGAAAATCTACCGGAAAGTTTTTCTAGCTTGCTCCTTCATAAAGATATTCGCTATTGAAGTTAGTGCTTTTTTAAAGAATAATTTTATAAAAACGCTAATTTTACGTTCTAGTATTCTCTGGTGTTACACCATCCCTTGGGTTGTGGAGCTCAGTTTTGCTTCCTAAAGGTCTAAATTGTGTCATAGGCTAGTTTTAAAGTTGAAAATCGAAAAGTTGCACACGTGGGGCCACGCCCAAATTGATAGAAAATTGCTAAAATCACTGAAAATTGCTGTTTTCACCAATTTCCGTCAACTTTGGAGTGCCGTTGTGATAACAGTTCTTCTTGAAATACTTTGAAACTTTTCATGCTTATCAAACTATATATAAAACACCATGATGCAAAAATTTACGGTGATTCAATATTGGATGCGCACGCAACTTCCGCTCAAGGTTTGCACGTGCTAAAGGTTCAAATTTTGCTCATTCGTGATTTTGAACAAATTCTGCTTTGCCACGACAGTTCAATGTCATTATATATGAATTTAATGCCAACTTGAATGAGTATAAAGTGGCATATTCAGTCAGTGATCGACCGATATGCTTACCTAACCACAAGGAAATGTTTTTAAAGGAAAAATTTCGAAATTGTTGAAATCACCTCCTTATTAATATTAATGAAGTTATGAGTTTACATTTCGGCTTTGTAAAGTACCCTGACATTATAATCAAAAAGAGATGATATTTGACCAAAACCCATAATCATGGGTAGAGTGGAGCGCTGCCAGTGTCTCTCTTTCCCAAACAAAAGGCAATGATATCAATTTGAATGACCGTTATCAAATGCAAAATGATACCGAGAATGAAATCGGTCGCTCGCTTTTCCCACTCATTTATGGCTTACGAATTGTAATAAGTTTCGATTTATAACATGTAATCTATTTCAATTGTAAATGAATGGGAAAAGCGAGCGACCGATTTCATTCTCGGTATCATTTTGCATTTGATAACGGTCATTCAAATTGATATCATTGCCTTTTGTTTGGGAAAGAGAGACACTGGCAGCGCTCCACTCTACCCATGATTATGGGTTTTGGTCAAATGTAGAATATAGAATGTATGTACGACCGCCCACGTGCAAATCAGACGAGAAATAGGAAGTTGCGTAGTTACCATGGTAACGGTGTTAAAAGTGCACTTGCACGTGCAAGGATTTGAGAGCTTGAGAGGGGCATTTTGATCGGTTTTTTGTTATTAGGTGGTGTTCAGTGCGAGTTATATTTCAATTGGCTGTATCTTTGGTTGTGATGGATATTCGTTGATGCTATAAAAGTATAAAAACTGACTACCAAAGAATACTATTAGATTCCTCCCTGTGACCACGGGCTTTCTAGTATTTTAATAAGATGAACAAATTGAATTTTTTTGATGAATGACAGACTATAAAATTCCAAACCTTTTTAGGAAAACTCATTATTCTCACAATTAGCTTACCCGTGTTCTGATGAGTCCTTTTGATGACAATAACCAAGGTCCACACGTTACTCACAATTATAAGAAGGAGCGGCACTGCAACCACAATAACGTTCCCAATAATAAAACTGGGGATCAGGAAAGTTGGTTTTAAAGATAAATCTATCGTTGTCAGGAGATCTGCTCCAATAGAGTTGTAACGAATTATAAATATAAATTAATTAACAATTATACGCCAACATCGTTACCACGATTATTAAGAAGATGGCATTAAATGTAGATAAAAATGTTGCAATTAATAAAAATAATTACTGAAGAATGTGTAAATCACCTAATGTAACTGCCAGCAATCTCCACACAGCTCATTGCATAGGGAACGTAGATTGCCATACCTAGTGGGGTATTATACATTCCCTTATATGGTAGTGTTACTAAGGACAAGGTAACATTACCTTATATGGTATTATATTAAAGAGTTAATTCAGTATAGTTTTATCAACCGATCTTGTTCCTTTTGCGTTGGATCCAATTTCCTATTCGGACCATTAACAATAAGTGACTAACATTAACTCACCATTTGCCATGTATAGGGAAAAGAGGAGGAAAATAACCGTTGCCAGCACCCAGAACAATATCAGTGCGTTTATCATCTGTTTCCTGAAGGTTCATAACGTTTATAAACTATAAGGATCATATGCAGTTACATCCCTTATTAATTTCACTACTTTTTAGAGGTATCCGTTATAACTTTCATAAAGTTGTTTATAAACGTATTGTTTATAAACAACATTCATAGGGTTCATATTGTTATTGGGTTTGTTCACAGGGTTTATTTTTGATATACATAATATTCCACCATGAAATGGATCGAGGATCGGAGAGTGATCATCAGTAATATGTCTCAAGAACCCCCCCACCCACCCCCCCCCCCCCCCCCCTCTATATCATCACTAATGATCATTATACCTGGTGCAACGACTCGGTTGAAGGCAATGCGTCAGGATAAAAAGCTTGTGACAAGAAATTCCTGCGATAATGAAACCCTCCAGGGCAAGGGGGACATCTCCGACAAAAGCCGCCAGGAAGCAAGGAATTCTACCAAGTACCCATCCATCCGCACTGAAAAAAGACTTCTGGTTAAAGCCGAGTTTTTTTAAAATGTTCGGTTCCGGTTACAAAATTAAAATCCGGTTCGGCTTAAAAATCTGTTCCGGTCGGTTCCTCGATCTTTGCAATGACATTTTTGACAAATCCTTAAAGGAGCAAATTCCAATCGAACTGACAATCTATTAAGCTGTTGAAATGAGCACTACTGGAATTTTCCCTACCTTTTACTCTTCTATAAAATTGTTAACCTGAGAGTAACTAGCATGGGAGAGTAAACGAACAGGGTGATGAGCATGTCACAGAACGCCAGGTTCTCCAGAAGAGCCAGACTCACTTTGTTGATCGGAATAGCTCTACATTTTGTGGACGCCCACAGCACGAACCCGTTTCCTGAGAAACTTTTTCAAATAATTTTCATAAATTTAACAATAAATTCGTTTAATCAATTCTTGTAATTCGAATATTAAGGGTGTTAAGAATATAATTAAGATCGTTTAAGAAAATGAGGGGAGGTGGTACAAAGTTCATTTTATAATGACGTAGAGATATCCTTATCGACTACTGGAATTTTACTTGCTGTCCATTTTAAACTCTTATCGATGTAGCGTTCACATGGCAATATAATCTTCAAATTTTATCAGATACGGGTCTTCCTGATGTCAATAACCCCCTAAAATTTGTAGTAAGATCATGTTCCATTAACTACCTAATAATCCTAATATGATGACGATGACATTGAAAAGGATTAGGAAAACCCGCGTGGAGAACAAGAAGACCTCCGAGATTGGTTTACTGTCGTTAATACTGTCAACGTTTACCAAGTCATCCATCGTTCGAGGAAAGGTGAGCTTTGGTGATTCCATAACCATTTTCAGAAACTTAGAATAAGTTAAATGTGTTCATCTTAATTTTGATAATATGTTCTCAAAATCAATCAAAGTAACACAATGTCATCATCATAACTTCAAATTTGATGTTATTCTTAATGGAAATGGCAAAGGACCTAAACTGAAACACTTAAAAATCATCGCAAAACTAAGTCAGCGCCTTTAAAATATTTAAAATGTTTAAGACATGCAGTTCGCAAGTTGACAATTTATAACCTATTAAGTTTAACGCTGTAGCTTTGCGAGGGAACATGTTAATGGTACCACCCTTCAAACTCATAGTATGACGCGTTGCGTTACAGGTTCAACTACCATAAAGGGCCTGAATCAGCAGTTCGTGATAACTAGGGGCTCAGACAGCGGATCATGATACTGGATACAGACCAGGATCACCCAGTAAGTAACCTCAGTTACTTACTGAGTGACAAGCCATGCATCAGTCTTGTCTAACTTGATCAATTGTAATTACTCATATGATATTTAAAGTTGACATAATCCACGTGGCAATGCAGGTCTGACAAGTGTTTGTGGTCTATATATCAGTATTTTAGAATTAAATCGCTCGCTCAAAAGCTCAAAGGAGACAGACCGAATGATCATGTGACAAGTATTTAATATCGTTGCTTCTGCTCACTGCTCACTGCTTGGTTGTTGGTACCCGTATTCATATTCTGATGTAGAACCATGCAGATGGTGATCCGTTTCATTGCTAAACGTCAGGTGACAGCCTCACAGTTAAACAGTTAAAGACTAAAATATCCAGAAATGCAGGCGTAATGATGAAACTTAAAAGTTCCATTCCGAATAAAGCTCAAAAAATGCTATACAATAGTTTAATTCAATCTCACCTGTATTACTGCGCTACTGTTTGGGGTACTAAATCTTTAAATTCCATTCAGTCTTTATTCTCTGCTCAAAAGAAAGCTATTCGCGCCACTGATTCAGAATATCATAACTATTTTTACGACAAAGAAAAACGTAAACTACCATCTCACACAAAATCCATCTTCAACAAAATAGGAATTTTAGCTCTTCCTAATCTCATTGCTAAAAGCTGTCTAACTTTGATGCACAAGGTTTATATGGGAGTAGCACCATCGAGTATCTGTAGTATATTTGAAAAATCCCCGCTTAGACAAACGGAAAGGAGAAATCCAAAGTATTTTGAAATTAAGTTCAACAGATTACGGATCACCGATTATAGCATCTCTAACGTAGGACCACGATTATATAACAACACGATAAACGAAATAAATAAAATCCTTCCCTTCAACGTACCTAAGTTACAAGATAAGTTTATTAATTCATACAAGGACAACATTGTACGTTACTTACAGGACAAACAAAAACTTGACCTAGAAAACTTTTCGTGGACGGACAAGAACTTTGTCCTTTACAACTTTTAAACAAAATATTAGCAAAATATAACAGCTGTAAGAATCCTAAACGTTAGTGCAGTCAAATAAATGAACTGTGATAATGCATTTGACAGTCAGTCACTGCAATTTATTCTGCAACTTATTTTTCAATTTTCACTGCCACACTTAGGCTTATCTTGCCTACACATTTTTTAAAAACGAAATTCCTTGCGCACCGCGTACTAAAATTACTTGGATTTCTACCGCTTTGATAAATGACTACAAGAAGATGGGGAGTTAATATTGTTGATTTATATAATATAGATTATTTATTCTTTAGTGTAGATTAACTTTATTTTTATATATTTTACCAAGACGTGTGAAGGATCAACCATACGTTATTGATATTTTTGAAATATTTAACGATAAATTGATATAATAATAAATGATTGTAATATTTTTATTGAGGCACATGCCACCCCATCGCGGGTTTACTACTACTACTTACTACTACTACTCACGTGAATATGTTTATAAAGGGTGAATATCACATACGAATTACGGGTGCTGTCTATACGTCGTACGATGTCTTTTCGATTAAAGGCGGAGATCACGAACTTTAATCACATGCAAAAATGATCAACAAATTATTCGCAAGTAATTGCTGAATTAATCATTAAGAGCAACTTACAAAGTTACAATCAAATTTAACCATGTAATCAAATTTAACCCTCACAATCACATGGTCGTTTTACAACTTTGCCTCTTAACTTTCCAACTTTTTCTTAAATATTTTACAAAACCCATTTTATGTTCTTTCAACATTTTATGACTCCGCCGACAATTTCATCCTTTTCCTGGAAATTAAATGAATTGCTCGTTCAAAAATAATCACTTGGCTTTGGTTTAAACAGCATTCTAGTCAAAGGATCAAACTGCTGATCCACGCGATACCCTAGCTTCAACCTTTATCCCTACCTTGTACCTCAACCCTAGTAGCCAGGATACCCTATAATCCTATATATGGCTATACGGCCTGTTGATCAAATAAGTTATACCAGTATTTTGTGTTGTTCCCTTTGGCTATTGGCTGTACTGTTTATTGACCATTGTTAATGGTCCAAGCGTGCTAAATCACTTTACAGTCGATCTTCGAGATTTTTCTAAAACGGCACCCGGCAGTTGAAACCAATTTGAATCGATGTATTTTTGGACGCTGATTTCGAATCACCCCCCATGACATAGGGTTAAAATGCTCTCCTGGCGAGATATTAGCGAAAAACTGTCTCGATCACGTGATATGACCATATAAGGAAGTTAGTCTAATTTCTCGTTAGGGTTAGGGTTTCAATGTATGTTTTTGTTAAAGATTGAGTTAGGGTTAGATTACTTGATACATGTTTCGTATCCCAATATCAGAGATAATATTCGGCGGCGCGCGCTTCGCGCGCGAAAAGTGGCATGCAACGTATGTCAATAGATTACTTAGGGTTGGGATCAGATTAGAGGGTTAGGATTTCGAAAAGTCGTTCAGGATCAGCTATGAGCTAAAGAACGGCCACGGGTTGAAAAATTCACGTGACAGTCGAGTGTAGAGTGATTAATCATCATCCTTAATGGTCTGGCCCGGCGCGCGCTACTTCGTAGCACTTGCCGTCGAGTTGTCATACGTTGTATGACCCGCCGCGCACGAGTGCGCGGCTCCCCCTGTATCGTCGAAACTCTACTATAGTGAAGCGACCGTGGGGGTCACCACGTGATACAACCGTCGAGAAGAAAGCGACGCGCGCTACTAAGAAATTTAGACGAGTAACATCCGTCAATACCGTTTAGGGAAGCGAAATTATTTCACGTGAGTCATTTGGATTTATCGTCCAATAATACATAAACATTATAATCAAATTAGCAGCTTTGACAAATCTGGTTACATGCTTGATTGACGGTGTCAACCCATCGAGATCGTTGCGAAGCGAAGCAAAGCAACAATTGACGATGCAAAGCAAAAATGATAGTTTGGGCGGCGAAGTCCTCCAATTAGTTACATGCCGCCCTCATGTTTCAGTAAGTACATACTTGTCATACGTTGTTGTTTGTATGACCCGCCGCGCACGAAGTGCGCGGCTCCCCCTGTATCGTCGAAGACAGTGGGGGTCACCACGTGATACAAGTGGGGGTCACCAAGTGGGGGTCACCACGTGATACAAGTACATACCTATGTTGAGTTAAGAGTTTCGTCAAGACTTCACGGAGCCATCACATCTACTAAAGTTCTAACCACCCCGCCCCATGACAATCCTATGGCTATCACATGACATCTCCCTCCCTTCCTTGGCTTTTCATGTCTACTACATATGTTTATCATTCCAGAAAAGGTAACTCAAACTTTCACAATTTGTTAAATCGGGAAGAAATAAAAGACAGCTGGATTCGGTTTTAGTCAATAGTTTCACGTATTATCTGTTGAGGATCAATTGATTCTATAATCTAAGATATATACAAATATAGTACGGTCCTGTCACCACGTGGCAATTATATAACGCTAGATAATATCTAAAAATTAAATGTCTAGTATTTACATATATGAGATAAAATATTAAACGATTAGTACAACCCTGTTTTGATAATCAGACGCGTGCAGCCCCGGTTATTTAACGGAAGAATCAGCAATTATTATCACTATCAAGCTCACTATATTATCAAATCGGATCTGCACCAATGTGGAAACATTTTAGAAACTGTGCGTTCATATATAAGTATATAACCAGATTTGTCTAAAAATGAGAAAACAACTTAGATCTTGATCGGATAGTAATATTTGCAACTTGAAATCCTGTAATTCACTAATAATTCTGAGATTTTGCCTTATATGAGGCATAATGAACCATTCTGAATGCCAAAGGTTTCGAGCTAAATACAAGTTAACCTTTAAAATTACAAATGAATAATGGGATGAATCATGAAATTAAATACAGCCAAGGTCATTACTAAATTTACAAACCGATACTTGTAAACGGGTCATGTGAGCTATCAATAAGACAATATTAATCCGCAACAAGAAATTCAAAATCTTGAGGGTATGAAATGGGTACCCTTATATTAATAAACCTGACCAGGCATGGTCAACAATATATTGGAGACGTTAAGCATACTTTTTGACACGTGACAGCAAATAACCAATCCGCTTCGACTATTAATCAATCAGACCCCAGAATCAATGTCAGGTGTCAAAATAATGTCCCAACATAATCCACATCTTTAATGAGGCTGTACCGTCGATATGAGACCCGGACACCACGCTGACACCACTACACCAACAGGAAATTTTCCATGTCTGATAAAATGAACTGTAAACTATTAATTAAGGTGCATAATATATAATGTCTTGTCAGACCTTCTGACCTTAAACGAGCACACATTTCTTCAAATAAAACGTACACAAATAGAGAGACCGGTTATACAGAATACAATGTGATATATAATCAACTTCAAATGATCATTCGCAGCTCGAAGAGTGGGTCAAGAATCCGACCTGCTCGTCCGTGAATCTATGGGGCCCTAAGAGTACCCAACAGTGACAAAAAGTACATTTAGGTATCTAATAAGCGCCCAACCTGCTTAAAGTGTTGGGTTGGACAACTCTCAGGTCAGATTCGGTGAAATTACAAGAAAATACGGACGATTCATTATACGTGGTTCCACCGGACAAAGCTGCGATACTTCTCATTTGTTATGCGCTGCATATCTTTAAAACATATTTTAACTATTTAAATTGTCTAACAACATGGCACATACAAATGCACTGTAAAACATTTCGAAAATTAATTACACACGGATCTGAACTATATAAACACTCGCAAAATGTGGCGGTTGCAAAAATGTATCGCTTGCAAAAATAAAGTGTTCAGTCATATATAAATACGCTTTTCGAGATAGTAATAACAATAATGTAGACAATTAGGCATGCAAAAATCACAAAATATACGACCTGGAATAATACTGCACCTCAACATTTTTTGAAGTAATTATAAGAATAATACAAAATACCTTCAAAAACGATCCACTCCAAAAGTTTCGATACATCACATCCGCTTAAATTTTAAAACAATTAAATTTACAATCAAATGTCCTACTTCAACTACTGCTAAATCGGTGCAATATTCGCACGGACAGTTATAATTGATCTAAAATCTTGCCTTCTGAAGTTTTGAAGTTCGAATAAGTGGGATAAGTTCCCAAATTAGCGGTATAATCAAAGTTACTACGATACCGGTTACTTCGGATACTGGCTTCTCAGGTGACCGGTCACTCGGGAAACCAGTTTAACCTGCAACCGCAAGTACACGGTAACCAAATATATATTCTACCTTTCACAACCCCGTCCTGTACCAGTTACCCTGCCCAATTGGGACCCGTCTGCTCCATGCCAAAGCCGCCCTGTTCTCCTCCTCTGTTTAGACCAGCTCCAAAGCTAGCCAGGGAAGTGGGGGTCGGGGAAAATCCCGGTAGATCAGCACTCTGGATATCAGGCAACCCGAAGCTGTTTTTCTGGGGAGAGAATGAAGTTTGCGGAGTGAAGGGAGTGGTGGGGCTGAACTGCTTCAGATTCATCAAGTTGTAGAGTTGAGTTTGGGAACCAGATTCAGAGCTTCTGTCCGAGTCTGCTGCCAAACCGCTCACGTTAATCCTTCGGCAGTAGAAGCCCAGAGTTCTGCACTTCTCACAGAGTTCCTGCGGATAATTTGTCTTAGCCAACAATGCAGCAGTTCCTAAACTAATCCAATTATTCTTTAAGTTGTCCTAGCCAACAATGTTCCTAAACTAATCCAATTATTCTTTAAGTTGTCCTAGAAAACAATGCAGAATTCCTAAACAAATCCAATTATTATTTAAGTTGTCCTAGCCAACAATGTTCCTACACTAATCCAATTGTTATTTAAGTTGTCTTAACCAACAATGCAGCAGTTCCTAAACTAATCCAGTTTGATATCGACGGGAAAGGAGAAGGAAATCCCACTACCCCAGGAACATGCTCATTTTGGGTGGCTCCTGGCAGCCCTCAGAGTAGTTTGTGAGAAATTAGGGCTTCTAAAGAATATAATTATCGATTTTGTAAACGGCTTTGATGTGTATGGCTTATTAATCATGGGGCTGATTCGTGTAAGGGTACAGGTGTTCGACTTGAAACTTGGCGTTACCGCTCATCCTAGGAACATGTTTGATATGGGGATACCGATATTCATATGCTGAATAGTAGGATTTGTTTCAACTTGATCGGATCTTATCGAGTTTCAAATGTGGCCTGGAATTTGAAGTATCAACTAAACTAAATGACTTAATAAATACCAAGCAATGAATGCAACATGCAGTCTCGCGTACATTATGATCATAATATCATGTGAAGCACATGACAGTGACCGTGTCACATGACAGTGACGGTGTCACTTGACAGTGACCGTGTCACATGACAATGACCGTGTCACCAAAAGAGTCACTGTAAAAACTAAAAAGAGCCGACTAATTCCTGACAAAGAAACCCATGCCGCTTCTTTACAGAATTCCTAGAGAGGAAACCTTAAACCAATATGTTTTGGGCTACAGGAGCGGAGAGCGATTTCAAATTAAATAATCAGTGTGACGTGGCAGATAGATGAGCTGATATCTGTAATAGTTATCCAACTGCATTTTAACAAACAAATGTTTAAGGCAAACCAGTAACCATTCGATCACCAAACCATGCTCCAAATTCATTTTAGAATAAAACATCGTCAGACGCTTTGAATTACACCAAAATTGGCGGCATTCAATGACTGAGACTAATAATTCTGTGCAGCAGCAAGTTACTGTACACCTTCCTTAGATAAGGTTAATTGTTGCACAATGCATCCCCCTAACATAATCGCTACCCACATCCCCACCCGACCAGTGACCACTTTAGTGACCACTATAGTGACCCCCAGTTACCTGAGGATGCTCCTTGCTCTGGTCGGACACATCCAAACCATCAGGTTTCTCCAGGGGTCTCTGTTTGTGAGGATAAACCGTTATCTGACACTTCTTACACTCCTGAAAAGAAAAATCAGCGGTTAAATTACAACTTGAACAAACCGGGCTCAATTGTTGTTGTCGTCTACGGATCATCTCTTAGCACAAATCTGTGCAGTACTCTGATTTTCATTTCCATATTATCTTTAAGTTAAGTTGAGTTGAGTTGAGTTGAGTTGAGTTGAGTTGAGTTGAGTTGAGTTGAGTTGAGTTGAGTTGAGTTGAGTTGAGTTGAGTTAAGTTAAGTTAAGTTAAGTTAAATTAAGTTAAGTTAAAGTTACCTGTCCCATATTAGCCCAGCTGTTTCCACTCATCCACTTTCTCTTACATCTAGGACACTTGTATTCTCCGAAACACCTCTTCTTTCCTTGGTAAGGAGTCATCCCTTCACCCTTCTGCGGGGAAATTAAATTTAACAAAACTGGTGAGGAGTCATTCTTTCACCCTTCAATTATGCGGGGGAAATTCAGAGTATTTAGAAAATTCACGCAGCCAGGGTTATCCTTATTCCTGCCTTACTGCATCAGAATTTTTAGCTTAATCTCGCTTTAATATTATTTTATACTATAATATCCCCATTCCAACGTTACACGTCCACAGAGGCGTCAGTAATTACACGTCCACAGAGGCGTCAGTAATTTTGGGCGCAAAGTTGAAGTTTTGGGGCAGTCCACCATGGTAAATGTTTCAAGTGGGTGAGGATTCAAGAATATTATAATCCGGGGAATACAGCAACATTCTGGACTCTTAACATCTTGCGGCTTATTTCATGTTTCTACTATCTAATTCTTTTTAGTAACTGTGGACTTTATAATTTCGTAGGTATCCTGGCTAGATTCAATAATGCAACCTAAACTTATAACTCAGACAATTTAATAATAACTAATATTACTCAGACTAGACTTAACATAAAACTTTTCTTTGCAACTAACCCAGACTTAAAGTTAAAGTTTATACACCTGACAAGTCTTTAAAATTGTGGCTGTAAAGTTAAACGTAAAGTTCATTCCAATAGTTTAAATGCAAGTCAGGTGACTGTGCCCCGGTGCTATGAGGGGCACCAATTTATCCGCGTGTAAACTGAGGCCCGCGCCTAGTAGACGATAACAATTCCTGTTTTGGCAACATTTTCACAACTAATTGTAAAATGTAACTTTGTTCGCTTTCTCGTCCCACCCCTACCCCAGACATGTAAAAAGTTTTAAACACTAAAATTTCAGCAGGTGTACTCGCATTGTCGCCCACCACTACCCCCCTCTCTCTCTCTCTCGGTTACAGTGACCCAGACTGTGACCAATCAGTGTGACCAGTGTGAGTCACGTTACCAAAACACCGTGTCACGTGGTCTTCGCGCAGGGTCACGTGGTACGTGCCAGATGCTGAGATGCTGCTATTCGATTATACGACCCGCTAACAACATTACAATTCTAGGGAGGAGGAGAAGATGGAGTTAGGACTTGAGAAGTTGAGAAGGGGCGAGAAGTTCTGGGCACAGCTGCCCCGGGACTTAAATTTCTACCAATCAAATTGAGTGCGAGGAGTAATCCTACCTGGTGAATTGTAGGGCTGGCTCTGCTGGTCAGTTTGATTGGTTTATATGACACTTGAGGTTGGGGCCTCTAACTAACATAATTAAGGGTAACTATCTTATATAATCGCGTGTTTTCTGGAGTGATATTGAAATTAGAGCTGTCATAATGACACCGTGTTTCAGTTGTGTGGTTCCTTGGACGAGAAAATAGAAATACGAGATTGGGAGTTGTGCAATTTGTGATACCGGTAGAATTTGTGGTTTAAGTTGCTCCTGTATCTCGTGTTAAATGTGTCATAGTAAACGTTGAATTGGTAATATAGTAAAAGGGTGAGCCTAGTATATGTTCGTGATTATACAAATCCGACTTACGACATGAAAGTTAAAATACCGCTTACAAGTTAAAATTAATTAATCTGGTTGACGTTTTTAAAAACTTAATATAAATATTAAGCAAAAATGTCGCCAAAACTGGCAACAATATTAATAAAAGTTAAAGTTCGCTGCAATTAACACAATTCTTTTGCAAGTTAAAATCCTGACAATTAACACAACAATTCGTAAGTTAAAAATAGTACAAGTTAACGCAGGTAATAAAGTGATAATATCGAACAAACCTGCGGACAGTCAGTAATATAATGTCCTTTGTCAAAACAAATGTGACACATGTAACTCTCTGGCGGTTTCTTAACACGTCTTTGTAACATGCTCAGTGGTATCCTATCTCCTAGACCCTGAAATTAATTGGTTAATTAATTATTTGGTTAATTAATTAATATTTGGTAGTTGGTTAAATGGTTGAGATACTAAGTAACCACTTGCTGAATTGTTGCAACACTATATTATATAACTGATCCACCCTCTCAATTTTTTGGTGAATTGAATCAAACATTTTCATTTCTCGTGGGTATGGCAAAGAACAACCACAGTAACCACAGTAACCACAGTAACCACAGTAACCACAGTAACCACAGTAACCACAGAGCGATAGCACGGTTCCGTATAAGTGCTGTACGTATCGGAATTCCGATCCTTCTTATTCCACACAGCAGCACTTGGTGGTATTGACTATTCTTTATCTACCGATGTCACGTAACTGATCACGGGGTTGTTGTCATGGTAACGTGACTGATCGCGTGACCGATTTTCTGTGTCACATGACAGTGAGGCAGCCATAATAACAATTGCCGCTGCCAACTTGCCCAACATCCATCACCAGCAGGCTTTATCTGTGTACAAAAGTATAACAGTCAGCAGCCCGAGTACTTGTACTGGACATTTGAACACAGTATATATTGAATAGTATTGCCGGTCCTGGGAAAGCAGGTTCAGGGGTTCAAGGCACAGGGTAAATGCCAGACCGTGGGAAAGCAGTCCTAGTTCCAACTTTACTGAGCAAGGTTGGGTAACTCAATTTTGTAGGTTTATTCCAGGTTTAACCCAAGAAACTGATAACAGGAAAACCATGTTTAAGTTAAACGAAATGGTTACAGAAAATTCTAGAGGTTCTCACCAAGTTTTCAAAGTTTTCGAGCAAGCTACTGTAATCAGTGGGGTCGGAGTTGTTGTCATGGTAACTGCTGTTGGGGGACATGGAACCTGTGGATCCGTTGTACATGTGGGGCTGGGTGTTGTAGTTTTGGGGTGCACCGACGTGATGGTGGTCTGCTCTGAAAGGGAGGTTGTTTTGTTAGGGTGTTAATAACGACCACCTTAGTAATACAGATGCGTTGTTATGGCGACAATTAACACCTGCAAGTGTAACACTAGCAACCATGTTGTTATTCAAACTCCATTATTCATACTCTGTAGTCACTTCTATAAGTATAAATCCACAATCAGAGGTCAGAGGTGTTCCCATTAATATTATTCATTGAATATTACAACTCAAGTGTTACCCACCAGAATTACACATCACGTGTAACAGGACATGGCATTTTCAAAGAAAAGGACCTTAAAACTTACAGCCCAGACCGGAATTGCTGTGACTAACGAGTTATACGGATGAACTTACGGCCCAGACTGGAATTGCAGTGACTAACGAGTTATACGGATGAACTGGGGCTAGGAACGAAGGGTTCTAGACTGTAGACTGTTCCAGATTTCTCGCTACAGAAACTCACGTACAACTACACTAACAGGGAGGTTATTAGATACACCACATAGGACGGTTCCGTGCTCACAGTTCACAGCTCACAGCTCACAGCTCACAGTTCATTAAGAGACAGTGAGATCTGTAGTGATGGGGAAGGGAGGGTGGGGTGGGGGGGGGGGGGTTTCCCAACTTTTCGCAGAACTAACTTTAACATAAAGTGTTGGTAATCTGATCGACTAAGTGGTTGATGACCCCACCAGGTCCCGGCGCTCAGCAGCACCAGGCGTTTAGATTAACATTACAACATTATAATATTCCCTCCGTAGTTACAGTACCCTCTCACCCGTACTACATCTCATCATTAACTGTACATTACAGGCTGTCGCTCACAACACTTCTCCTGGAGCTGAGCGTGGCTTCGGGTTTCAGAAGTGGAGGGGAGGCGGGGTGTAGTCAAAGAGGAGGTGTGTCTGGAGGTCAACACCTCCTCGGTTGGGGGGTATTAGTGCAGTCGCTAAGTGCCTGACTTTGTCATTATCTCCACCCGGCTTAGAGTCATCTCAGTACTGGTACTAGCATATAAATGAAGAAACATGAAGAATGTGCAGTAGCTAAGGTGTTTAAATTCCTATCACGGGGGGACTGAGCAGTATTCTCACTTTCTCACGACACTAACTTTCTGGGTATGAATCTCAGCACTGGAATTACCGCACAAGAGGAGTGGTTGCAAGGGAGCGATAGAAACGGGAACCTATAATTTCAGCCATGCAAAGTACCAGTACCACTTGAATACAATATCTCACTCTCAGCTACTTGAATACAATATCTCACTCTCGGTTACTTGAGTAGCTGGTGACACTTTCAGAGCGGATAGTTATGACAGTAATAGTTGCCGCGCCTGCAGGTGCGATGTGCTCGCAGTCACATCACAGCAGGAAAACAAACTTGCACAGGTATTCCGGATGCAACTCACCAAATGAGTCCAATGCAATGGCTCACTAATGAGTATCGTGAAAACGGTCTACAAACTTCAAATATCCACAAAGAAAACGGCCGAATACTCGTATACTAGAGCTCTACACTCTTAGAATTTAGCGGCTGACGTCCGGAGAGAAAATTAGCGGGAGACAAATCACGATCTGTGGAGGCCAGATAGCTACTAATTTGAAAGACTGCAATTCTCTGTCCCCTGATCTCCAGCCCACTTCATCTTCCTACTACTCTATATATATGTAAGTTGGAGTAGTTAGCAGGGCAATAGTACTGCTAACAAGGCCCGGTTCCGGGGGCGTGGTCCTGATTCCTGAACAGTCCTGTAACTAGAAAGTCTAGAGTGTGACAGGCTGGGCGGCAGGAACGCAGATAGATGTACAACTTCCAAACTGGCCAGTCCTGACATGTATGTGGGTTTGCGGAACCGGGCGGAATTGTAATAGCAGGGTTTCAGCTGCAAGGTAAAAGCTGGAGACAACAGAGACAACACCCGGATCATGAAGGCGCTGCTATTGGAGACTGTAGCCAGGAAACAGGTAATCGGATAAAATAGGATAAGTTAAAAATAAAAATATTAGATTAAAGTAGGGGGAACAGACATTGCATTCCTCGACATTTTATCCCCGCTAATTTGAAATAGCTTTTAAGGTAAGGCCTGAGTTTTTTAGATTTAGGAGGACTGGGGGGGGGGGGGGGGGGGGGGAGAGAGACAAAAGCAAAGTCACATCTGAGGGTCAACATTTGGGGGTCAAATGTACAATTAAGAAATTCAAATTGCCAAAAGTGAAAAATGGTACACGGCCCGACTAACTATAAGTATAACAACAACTAACCTAACTAACAACAACTAACCTAACAACAACTAACCTAACTAACAACACCTATCCTAACTAACAACAACTTACCTAACTAACAACAACTAACCTAGAGGAGTTATTGGCGAGGTAGTTCTCCTGAATAGCCCCCAACTTGGCCAGGATCTGGAACTCCTGAATCTTGTTCAGGTTAAACATGCTGGGGTTGAAGCCCCCGGTAACTGATTGTGGTTTGGGAGTCATGTTGTCAAGGTAACCGGATGGGGGGCGGTACCCGGTAAAACTGGGACCCTGCATCACGGATTCCTGTTTCCAAGTTGGCGACGATTCCTGTTGCCATGACACTGATGGGGTTGTGGAAGCCGGGGAAGGTCCGCTGTTCGGGGGGTCTCCCGGGGCACTAGTCTGCGGGGTGGGTGCCCCGGGGGGAAAGCTCTCGAACAAATGATAAGATGTGGACATTAAACTGAGATGGCGTGAGAGAACTGCAGTGTAACAAAAGGGATCCGAGGAGAAAGGTAGAGAGAGAGAGAGAGAGAGAGCGAGAGAGAGAGAGAGAGAGAGAGAGAGAGAGAGAGAGAGAGAGAGAGAGAGAGAGAGAGAGAGAGAGTATGATACAACGGCGACCTGTAATACTACACCAATATTACGCTGTGACTCTAACACCTGACACAGACCGTAGAACCCAGCAGTTGTCACGGCAACTAAGTCCTCTCCTAATTAGATACCATCTTCATTGCTTCCCATTAAACTTCTGAACACTTTTCCATAGATTCGACCTAGTTCGGGGAAAACAAGTTAATTCAACATGATCGAGCAGTGAGTGGTAGACTTGATGAAGGAGCAATAAGTGCAGTAATTGTCGTCGAGCTATCAAACAAAAGGGAGTATATAAAGTTGTAGCGCTTCGCAATCTCGAGCCGAAGTCTGAATTTATAGCGAGCGACAATAGTCGAGTAAAGTTGTAATTTGAAACCAGGGTCCGTTTGGATGGCCTATAATATACAAAAATATTTTAGTGATAGTCGCGTACGGAATGGCAAATTAACTAGATTATTATAACAATGCTCGTCTGTTTAAAAAACGAAAACACCGGTTGTAGGTTCATAACAAAGTAAACACAGGAAATAACAGGGTGAAACATTTTGACTAAGAGAACGTAGGGTGAAACATGTAAACTAAGAGGAATATCGACGGTGAAATAAAACTCACCTGTATATATAGAGTAATTGTAAAAGATATAATTCTGAACATTTCTTTTAAACAATAAATTATGAAATTTCGTTCTCTGTACAATTAGCTTCGTAACTATCGATTTATTGGGAACTCAGGAAATGATTTTATCAAGCTAATAAAGAAAGTTGGCGAGCAATAATATTTGAAATGATCTAGTATAGCCGATCCCAAATGTGTTAAAATTTGATACGGCGACAAAAATAATAACCAAATATCTTATTTACGTGACTGAACGTTTCACTACTGAGTTTGTGACAAAAAACATCCAAGATGCGCACTTCAGGGTGCTAAAATAGTTTGCTTCAGAGATTAATGTAAGATCAGAAAGTTGTATAAATCTATAACGAAATAAGAATAAGATGTGTTTAGTCAAAGATAGTTTGTATAGCATGTGAGGCATGGTTGTACAACATGAGACGCTACTCAAAGCTACTCAAATACTGTCTACAACTTACTCAAGCATAGAGTTTATACGACTATAATCACTGCACCACGATAATTACAATTCCAAATCTGTTCATAATATTTTCGTTATTTAAAATTATTGATTAAATCTTATACTATTTGCTATTATTTAATAACTAGAAAGCCCGTGGTCACAGGGAGAAAAGTAATGGCATTCTTTCGTACCAATGGTAGTTAGTTTTAATAGCATCAACAAATATCCGTCACAACCGAAGATACAGCCGATTAAAATGTAGCTCGCACTGAACACAACGTAATTACCACAAAACCGATCAAATGTCGTTCGCAGATCTTTGCACATGCGCATTCAACGCCGTTACCATGCTTATTATGCAACCTTTTGCTTTTTACCTAATTTGCAGGTGGGCGGTCGTACAGACATACATACATAATAATTCTTTGAATTATAAGTAAGACAGGGATGAAGCTAGTAGTTTTTTATTTATTTGGTAGTCAGTTTTTATAACATCAACAAATATCCGTCACAACCGAAGATATTACAGCCGATTAAAATGTAGCTCGCACTGAACACAACGTAATTACCACAAAACCGATCAAAATGTCGTTCGTAAATCTTTGCACGTGCGCTTTTGAATACTGTTACCATGGTTACTATGCAACTTTTATTTGTTTACCTAATTTGCACGTGGGTGGTCGTACAAACATACATTATACAAAAATAATTCTTTGAATTATGATATAGATATACAGACAGACAAAAAGAATTCTCTGAATTATAAGTAAGATACTTCAGAATTAATCAAAGCACAAGTTATGACCTTATGTAGCGTTATAAACTTATATTGAAGTGGCCCATCTTGAAAATAAAAGTTATAAACCTATAGTTATTTTGGAGTAAAAAATAAAATGGAATAAATAAAATAAAAAATAAAATGGATAAAAGTAAAACGGCTCGTCTGCAGCCTGATCAGGTTTCTAAACGATGTTAGATTAAATGAGCAATGAAATATGCGAATATAAAAACGTGAGGTTACCTTATAACTTTCATTTTGAGACAACTATAATAAATTTATGTGGACCTAAAATAGATCTTAGCACTCAGACAACATCAGTTAAGTTATCAGTTCTTAAAATATAAAAATCGGTTCTTTATTTAAGTTAAATACCACTTTTACAAATCTCTGTATTGTTGGTCAAGCTAGGTAGAACCTGTCCTTCAGATAGAGGGTGCACAACACAAGTTAGCCATTCATCAATTAGTGACCAATTAGTGACCAATTAGTGATCACCAGTGCAATGTTCTAAAGTTGCTGCGAACACCTGCGATTATGGTACAGGATATATTAGCTTCTAATTATATTTTCCTATTTATATCTTCCTATTTATATGTTTATTTGTAAACCATTTTAAAACGATCAAACATTCGATAACCTTTTAACCATATAGATGTGTTGTTACATAGTTTGATAGTTTATTCCTGCAAATATGATTCGAAACAACTAATTACTTAACTATCATTAATATGCGATCAACACAACTCGTTTATATCAAATACTTGCAGTGCTCTGTTATGTTGCATTGTTTCATTTTGCTTTCTTTGCAACATTACTTGCATTCCGCCAACGAAACCTTGGTTTTTTCCCGTCTCCACACCCTAAAGTCCGGACTCCATCGCAAATCATTTTTGGGATATTTAGACATATTTCTAGTTACTTGACATTTTTTCATCATGGCACATTTTTAATATTAAAATTAAATCGATATTGGATATATCAAGGGATCATATCAGTTACGTGAATAAGTTTTGAAAATGAATATCGAGGAATGGTTATTTGGGAGTCGTCTCAAATGAGAGTGTTTCAATCAAGAAATACCATATAATATAATACCTATATAATATAATATCAATTCAAACTTAATGAGAGTGTTTCAAAGGCAGTTAAATCGTCATTTTCGCCACCAACTTTTTGGAATTTCTCTGATAAATGCGATGACACCCAGTGATGTTAAATATGTCAAAAATGTCCTGGAAACGAAAACCGCGTCCGCGTTTGCAGTACCACGTACAAGAATCCATTTATTAACATATCTGCGTGTACTTGACCAGATGGAATTCACAACGAGATCACGACTTACCTGGGGACCCCAGGCTATACATAATGTTCATAAAAATAAAGATTTGGCGGAATGACAGGTTGAGCGCCGCCCAGTATTAGTAAGATCACGGCATCACGCCCAGATCATTAATAGTGAATTCGTTATCGTACCTATACTATAGTACCTATACTTAATATTAGTATAAAACATGAGCTTTACTATAATACCTTTATATAGTAAGATAATCCCTTTATCTAGTAAGAAATGATACATTTATAGAAAATGTATTCATTATTTCAAACCCCAAATCTATGAAATGGTATGATTGAAAAAGTCACCATATATCTAATATAAATCGCAGATCCTAAATATCATCTCCATTTCCATTTTCCAAGAGGGGCGCTTCTCTTGTCTCTAATATGAGCTCTAAGCAAAGTAGTAATAAAACTAAAAGGATCAGCAAGGACAAATCACTATATGAATATCAATATCTGACCACACAACAAATGGTAATGCGTGCTGTCAAAGAGAGAATTAACGTATTCTATACTATAAAATAGTGCAGGTTATCAAATATGTATCAGTCGACGGGTAAGAACTAATATGCTAGCTCAACATTGCAGCGCTCCGCGTGCGGAGCTGAACATTGTTCAGCCTCAACAACCTCGCTTGCAATTTGTTGCGCCGCTCAATTTGTTGGGTAGTGGAACTGGAGAGCGGCGGCTGCTACAATTCAGGAAGTTTAACAAATGAAGAAATGAAAGAATAATATATTTTATCCTGAGTGCATTTATACAGTAATGCAGGGAGAATCCCTACAGGGATAACTTTATGCTACTAGTTCAGTGTACACCTAGTTTGGTTTCCAATTTCTTGGAATAACTGGTCGGGCGTATGCAACAAAAACTCACGTACACTAGTATTATAAAGGAGTAAAGGGCGAGCTGAGAGAAGGATTATAGCGAGGATCCATGGCAACGACTAAAAGCTCCGGGTCTCCTTGGGTTAATAGACTTAGGATTTATCGCAAGCATTTAGTTAAATGAGATTTATTTATTTGGCGGGCCCGGAGCTCACCGTGTCGGGCATACGTTCGGTTCGAAGCTACTGGAATTAATAACGTGGATGTGCCTGATTGTAGATGTTATGTGTGTGTGCATGTGAACCGGGCAAGAGTAACAATTATATACCCTGTTTTTCTTGTGATAATTCTACTCTCTTTAACTGATTAGGTCATCTGCAGGTTAGATAATAAATCCTGTAAAGTGGATGAAAAATCTCATCATCATCCGAATGTTATGGTGTTTTTACTTTTTATAACAGGAAACTGTGAGATTAGTGAAGAGTGAAGGTGCAGGAACGATAAATATCTTCATGCACTGATCAGAATATGTTATCAGAGTATCAGTTAACTTTCTAAATCGTTCAACAATTATCATGTGGGTGATTTAAACGGTTCGTAATGGTTGACAAGTCTCTCTCAACAAAAACCATTGAAACATACCTTATGTGGTCAATGCAAATTTAGGCTCCTTTCCCCGGTATCATTATTGCTCGAAAATTTAAATGATATTATATATAATATAATAATCTAATACTTGCCGGTGTAGTAGAACAATTCAACACTCTACATGATTTGATAATACCGAACCTTGTGCAGTAGGTACCTGGGTATTATATATTATAAGGTAACAGTTGCTGGGGTTTGCTGGGGTTTGCTGGGGTTTGCTGGGGTTTGCTGGGGTTTGCTGGGGTTTGCTGGGGTTTGCCCTTGGTGTGGTTGTTTATACGTGTTGTCGAAAAAGCAGCTTATTAGAATTATCGTTTCAGATCTTATTTGTAATTGGGATATTTTAAACCAAAGACAAATGAACTCACCTTCCAAAAAAAAATTTCTCTAAAGTACAAAATAAATCAAAGAATGTAAAAAAATTGTACAAGGTCTTTATAATTGAAACGTTTGTGCAAATAGAGGTTCATTATGTATCAATTAAACGGTGGAAAAGACAACAAGGGGGGACG